ATAGAGATGCGCAAAGTAAAAATAAAAAAATTGGGTGGAGCAGAGATCCTAACACAAAGAACCAAATTAGACTTTATAGAGTCTAACCGAGGGGATTAGGACAGCAAAGTGGTTAATTGGGGCAATTAAGTCAACAATATTGACTCCATCTTGTGACTCAGCTAGCTTAGTTCCTTTTCTCTTCAAGTATGGGTCTAATCCAAATTCTACTTGTAAGAAAAGTTCATTAAATTGTAGAAACTGGGAAAGAACCTTATTGCCATTTGAACCTAGCACTAGTAAACTGGACCACCTCTACCTGCTATTTAAGAGACCATTAACTAAGAACCCCGGTGATGCTGACAAGAAACCTAGTCAGACTCAAAGATTTATGCAAGTTTTCTCACAATTATACGTCTTGAGCAACCCATGTGTCTTATCTGAAAACTGGCCCTGTACTGATCAATCAGTTATTGTTTCTGTGTTCATTGTTCAGACACTTGGAGGTAATAAGAAGACACCTTTTTTGATTTCAAGGAATTGTACCTGTTTGCTTTCCCCTTTCCAACTTGGAAAGTCTCTAATCTTTCATCCAATTAGAAACCAGATTACCTAATGTATTGTTTCCTTTTAATTAATTGGTCTTGCTTGTTTTTAATGTATAAAAGCCTGTCTCCCCTTGTATTTGGGGTCAAGGCCTAAGCTGAGGTCTGGTCCCAGTTTGTTGGGCAATTGCCATGCATTGCTTAATAAATTGATATGCTCCGAAGATCCAACCTTTGTTTTTCTTCAATCATTTCAAGATCTTTCACCTACATCATAGATTTTTTATTGGGAAAGGATTCGTGGTGGGGATATGGCTAAGTCAATATGCACCCTACAGGGATCTTTTTCTATTTGAGTTTGACCCTACCATCAACTGTGTGGCACTATGTTAAGAGCTGGGGAAACACATAGATTAAGCAAGAACTTATAGTGCAGATAATATGTACACATAAAACTATGTACAAAAAAAGTTGGGATGTGTATGAAAAGTTAAGGCACTAATAGTGGGATTGGGATAAGATTCTTATGTGTGGATTTCAGTGGAACTCTGAAGGAAATTATGAATTCTATGAGATGGAGGTGAGAAGTGCGTTCTCTAGGCAAAAGGGAAAGCCTGTGCAAAGGTATAGCTACAGGACCTACCTGCAATGTATCATGCAGAAAGCCACAAGGTCAACTTGGCAGGAATGTTTTAGTGCATGAAGGAAAAGCATGTACAATAAGCCTGGTATGAACAACTAAGAGTCTAACCATTAAGAACTAAGTTAAAAAGGGGCAACTGGAAGTTGAGTAGGGAAGTGACATTATCAAAACAATGCTGTAGAAATACTAATTTAGCAACTGTGTGGAGGATGTATTGGAAAGGGGAGACTGGAAGCTGAGAGACCAATTAAAAGGTAGTAGCACAGGGAGAGGTGAAAGCTTAACTAAGGTGGCAGTTGTGTTAAGTGGAAAGTAATGACAGATATGAAAGATATGGAGGTAAAATTTGTAAGATGTGGCAACTGATTTGATATGAGAACAAGTTAAGTTAGGTGACTGTAAGGACTGTGGTGCCTTTGCCAGAAATAGAACAGTCAGTAAGAGAGATAGGTTTGGGGGGCAAAAAATAATGAGTTGTTTTAGTCATGTTGACAGTGAGATACTTACGGGACAGATAGCTGGAGAAGTGCAATATTTGGTATTGTGAGATTGGAGTTCAGAAGAGAAAAAAGATCTACAAGTCAACTGCAAGTAAGTGATAGTAGTATACACAGGAGCTCTTAAAATAACCAAAAAAAAAAAAAAGAGAGAGAGAAGCTAGGATAGGATCCTGGGGTACATCCATGCAAAGGGATACGGTCACTATGATGATTGGCTATAGGTGTGGCCAGTAAGGTAAAAGCAGAAGAGGCCAATGACCTGAAAAAACAAGGAAAATAGAGCACTTAAGAGGGAGTGGCCAACAGTACCAAATAATAGAGTTTGAGAATAAGGATTGAGAAAAGACCATAAATTTGGCAAATAATACACTAGTAAAAGAGCAGCTAGGTGGCAAAGACCCACGTTCAAATCTGGCCTCAAACACTTAGCTGTGTGACCCTGGACAACTCACTTCACCCTGTTTGCATCAGTTCCTCATCTGTAAAATGAGCTGGAGAAGGAAATGGCAAGCCACTCCAGTTATCTTCGCCAAAACCACAAATGGAGTCACAAAGAGTTGGATACAACCGAAACAACTGAACAACATTAGTAACCTTGGAAAGAGCAATTTCTATTTACTAATGATACCAGAAGCCAGACTGCAAAGGATTGAAAAATTAGCAGGTGAAGAAATTAATGCAATAAGTTTAGACAGCTTTTTCTAGGAGATACTCTGATGAGGAAAGACGGCAATATTTAGGTTACATGATAGTAGTTTGGTGGATTTGGAATTAGTTAAATGACTAATCCCAAAGAATAGTTACTGAGTCATCAACTTTACATGGAGGTTTTTAGGTCTCTAATGGAAAGGATCTGTCCTTTGCCCTATGCTGTTTTAACAGTTTCATTTATTTTGGCAAGGCAATTGGGGTTAAGTGACTTGGCCAGGGTCACACAGGTAGGAAGTGTCAAGTGTCTGGTCTGAGACTGGATTTGAACTCAGGTCCTCCTGACTCCAGGGCGAGTGCTCTATCCATTGTGCCACCTAGCTGCCCCCTTTTTTTTTTTTAAAACAATTTAAATCAACCTTCTAATGAAGGTATAACACAAAGCATATCTGTCAAATTTTCAGATGTCAGGCTGGTACAGTTAGGTAACATGTTTGATTACAGAATCAGGATTCAACTTGTTTGCTAAGGTATACCTATAGGAAGAATGTGACAGTGTAATTTCACAAATTTTATCTCTGAGTTCCAAAAAAATCACCTTTCCAGGTTTATGATGAGGAAGCCATGGCTGCACAAGAGTTCTTGTGAAAAAGACTTAGGGAGTTTCAGTGAACTACAAATTCAGTATAAATCAACAGCAACATAGAAGCCAACAAAACAAACCAGCTCACAGGCTGCGCTGAGGGACAATTCATAGAACAGAGGAGTTGATGACTCTATCCTTAGAGCCACATTTTAGGAAGGGCAGTGACCAGTTGGAAAGCAGAGAAGAGCAATGAAGATAGTGATAGAAATGGGGGCCATGCCATGTAGGCAGAAGTTGAACTATGGATGTTTAGCTTAGGAGAAAGAACAATAGTTATCAAGTATTTTTGAAAGGCTCTCATGTTTCAAACTGACTAGATTTACCGTGTCAACTCCAAAGCGAAGAACCAGGAACAGACCTTTCCAGGTAATCTAGTCCAACCTCCTTATTTTGCACATAAGGAAACTGGGACCAAGAGTGTCCAAGTGATTTGGCTCAGGTCCCAAAGTTAGTGGGCAGCAGAAACAAAATTTATATTTAGGTTTCATAGGTCCAAGTTCAGTGCTTCTTCCAGTTTTCACACAGGAGAGGGAACTTCAACTTGATGTAATGAAATATATCCCAACAATTAGAGCTATCCAAATATGGGATGGGCTGCCTTGGGAATAAGTTTGGGTTTCTACTCATTAAAGGTCTTCAAGCAGTGCTTACTGCAGGATGTTTTAGAGGCAATTTTCCTTCAGGTATGGGTCGAACCAAACTATTTCACTTTACTGAAACTTCTGTTCAAATTCCCATTTTCTGTGTGCATAAAATTACAAACCCATACCAAGAACACTAGACAGTACATAAGAATCCCTGTGGGCTCCATATTGATTTAGAAAACCAGAAATTAAGTTTTATTGTACTTTTATTTATTTTGTTAAACATTTCCCAATTACATTTTAACCTGGTTCAACGTACTCCTGAGAGTTGTCCGCAGCGTCTGACACATCTGCTCCAATACATACCTGGTGAGTGATCATCCTACTTTAGGTTAAAGACCTCCACTGACGCCCATGCCATTTCTCTGTAACAAACTGTGGGATGTTTTGCCTCTTTATAATTTCTACCCATTGCTTCAAGTTTTGATCCCTGGGGCCAAACAGAACCAATTTAACCCATCTTCTATGTAACAGCCTTTCAAATACTTGAAGGTAGCTCTTGTTTCCCTAAAGCCTTCTCCAGGTTCCTTCATCCTTCCTCATATGGCACAAACTGGAGACCCTTCACCTTCCTATCTGCCATCCTCTGCACATCTTCCAGCTTATCAATATTATTCCTAAAATGTGGCACCCAGAACATGTCCTATCTCTTTCTAAATGCTAAAAGCACCTAAGAGAGGGAACATGTAATAGTTATCTCTGTGTCTTCCCATATATCGCATATTATACACATAGTATATACTTAATAAACATGTTGAATAACAGCTGGTATTTGTGCAGTACTTTATGTACATGAGATCCCTAGATCCTCACACAAACCTGCAAGGTTGGCAGGGCAAGTATTATTATTCCTATTTTAAAGATGAGGAAACTGAGGTTTGGAAAGACAAAGTGACTTGCCCAAAGTCATCCAGTCAGCAAGTAGCAAAGCTAGGATTCAAAATTCAGATCTTCCGATATCACGAGTATGTGCTCTTTGAACAAACTACCTCACAATAATCTACAATTACAAGACTATGTTTGTTCCTAGGGCAGCTAGGTGGCACAGTGGATACAGAGCTAGCTTTGGAGTCAGTAAGACTCATTTTCCTGAATTCAAATCTGTCCCAGACACTTCCAACCTGCGTGACCTCGGGCAAGTCACTTAACCCTGTTTGCTTCAGTTTCCTTATCTGTAAAATGAGCTGGAGAAGGAAATGGCAAACCATTCAAGTATCTTTTCCAAGAACATCCCAAATGGGGTCACAAAAAATCAGACACAACTGAAAACTGAAAAAAAATGTTTCCGTGAGATTAGCTTTGATAGCTGCTATCATTTGCATCTATGAAATGTAAATAAAATCTGATTTCTGCAATAGCAGATGTTTATTTATTTTTTTTTATCAAAGGTCCTCCTTGACATTCCACTCTTCACATTTTTATTGATGGTAGTTCTGTGAATGGAAATAGTTTACATTTGTGACAAATAAAAAGTGAAAGGCACATATAAAAAGTATACAGGAATAAAAGGTACATTGTCTAATTATCACATGATATTAAAAATACAGAATATCAGGAAGTGAAATATGAAGGAAGGATTCCCCTATGGACACTCATAAAAGGTATGGGCTTGCAGTTTCTTATAACAGAAAATATTAGATTAAAATAAGAAACTAGGATAAAATAATTTAACCAGAAGTTTGAAAGAATTTATATTAGTCATACTTTTTGATAATACTTTGTCTACAGTTTTCATGATAAATGGAAGTAGTAATAGAACAGATACTCTCTACTTTTCATTATGAAAAACCTTTTAAACATAGCTAAGTTTGATACTATAAAACTGACCTTAGCAAATAAATTTAAAATGCAGCATTCTTAACACAGATGACAAAACTAAAAACTTTACTTTTTACGTGTCAATATTTGCCAAATGTATTTCATCAGTGTTTTTTTGCAAACATTGTGTTAATGCAGAATTTTTTTTTTAAATCTTCATTTCAACCCAAATGCAAAAGTCATATTTTGAAATGGCTGCTTTTCTAGGTGTGAGAGAAAAGTATCTATTATAAAAATCAAATCATCTGAGGGAAAATTAGCCTCTACTATTTCAACAGGGGAGTGAAAAAAAAAACACAAGACAATAATCATTACATTATTTAAGAGATGTATTAAATTTTAAAATAAAAATTATTTTACATTTACATCTGGACTTAAGGTGTCCAATGACATTTGTTTTCACTTAATCCCCACTGTTTCTCCATATATGTAATAGGAAAAATCATCTACAGAAAACATTTTGAGGTTTTTGGATCCTAGCTAAAATCAGCAAACTTCACATTAGCACTTTTTGAAAGTAATAATCTCAGATTGAGATTTTAAAAAAAGAAAACAGCTCTTGATGATTTTAAAATGAAATTCATAATTTACTGACAATAAACAACTACGCACTTAACATAAACGATGGCCTCTGATGAAGTTAATGAGTAGGTCATGCTAAGTTAACACTAAATTTTAATTTTTTTGATTTGTTTAAAAAAAATACTAAAATAAATAGGACAAAAAAACCCTTACTTTCCTAACAAATTTTAATATTCCTCAAAGACTTGGGTTTCAGTGTGTGTAAAATGTATGAGATTGAACTACAGGGGGGAAAAAACCTATATGACTGACTGCAACAATAGAGATTTTAAATATTTACAAGACTGTTAAGGAAAAATCTTGATGCCAACAAACTACTGTTGACAAATCCTGTCTCTAAAAAATATCCTTTTGAAATTACAGAATGTTAAACATTCAAACCAAAAATAATTTATGGTAAAAATAATCCAAATTTTACCTTTAATGATTGTAATATATGTATGAGTGAATCAGAGGGAAAATTATTTTGGCCTTTTTACATGTTATGTTTTACCAGAAATTTTCCAACAAGTATATGAAGCAACACATAATTCTGGAGAATATCAATTATTAATGTCTTGGAAAATTGTCTAGACCTTCTGTGCTAAACAAATGCATATGTTATTAAACTTTTGTATAAAGGAATTTAAATTCTTGTTAACACTAAATTAAATAAAACATTAAAGAATTTGGGTAAAAATAACTGAATTTCACTTGTCAAACTTTCTACTTCTAAAGACAATTTCTATACAAATTTAACGTGACAGATTTTATCAAGTATTTAGAATAAAATGCAAAATTTTATTAGACAAAAGGACTGAGCAGAGCTTTAGCTTGAACATTCCTTAATGCAGTACAAGAAATCTGCATACACATAGAGATGTACTACAAAGTGCGAAATGCTATAATACTACACCCCACGTAAAGCTTCTTCCATCCATATTGTTTTTAAAAAAAATTTAAATGAAAATAATAACTCACTACGGGGTGGCCGAGAATGACTGCAAATAAATGAAACTACCAGAAATTGTTGCATTTGATTTGGTGGCTTGTGTTTGGCTGTACTTTTGCATTAAAAAACTGGACATTTTAGTTTATGTATTTTAATACTATATGGATTTTTTCTGCAATTTACAAAGATCATTCTCCTATAACCATTTGTGATTCACCAGAGTTAATTCTGCCTTTCTTTAAAAAGGGCAGACTCGATCATTTCATGCAATATAGTGACTACCATTTAAAATATTCAGCCCATTTGCCCATCAGTTCTCCCTGTAAAGTTTATAATTTGTAGCTTTGGTTATAAGGAAAACTAATTTTAAAGCGAGATTTCTTAACAAGGTTCTAATGTAACACAGTTTGTATTTCTTTTGAAAAAACCAGCTCAGCTAGCTTCTTCCTAGATAAAATTTAGTTGGTTAACGGGAATCAATGCATTCACTCACATATAAAGCTTTTGAGATTTGGGGAGATGATTGCCTGAAAAGTAGGAGAAATATATTCCCTAATTCCCACCCAGTCATTTGCTAGCTCACAGGGCTAGATTTTTCCAAATAATTTTCTTCAACATATTTTGCCTAAGGAAATAAGCCACATCTACAATTAGCAAAAACATCACAAAAACATACTAACTTCAGTAAAGTTGCAGTGCTGTATTGTTTATGATGTTATTCTATAAGATTTGTGATGTTGTGTGACTTTTGGCCACTGCTGCCAACAAATGCAAATGAGTAAAGGATACAACAAAAAAAAGTCTTGATTTGGTGTTTTTGGTTTTTTGGTAAGTGTAGACATGCCCTTAACAAGCACAAAAACCTGACTTTCAATGTTGATCTCTAGGGTTATTAAAGTTATCAAAATTAAAAATAAACTCCTTACCTACAGCAAGATACTGTACAATATTACAAACACAGACACATGAAAAAAAAATCAGGCAGTAGAAAACGTACAACAGCTTTGGTGTTATACAAAATAACTTTCAAAAAGGTTGACAGTGAAGCACACAGTTTATGTTTTCTTACCACAGACACTTCACTGATGATTTGTATCTGTTTCTTTTCATGTTCTTGGTAAGGCCTCTCTACCCAAGAAAGTCAGAATTCATCAATTTAATAAGAACTATTAGGAACATCATAAAATGAGCTCCAAATTCACTGAAAAGTCTTGCCTCTTTGTGCCATTGCCTTGTGGCACTTTTCTTGTCAACAGAACAGCAGGTCCAAAATAAAGTGACAACTAGATTTAATAAATTAATATACATTTTGTTTAAAGATGTACAATGCACATTCTGTTTAATCCAAGGTTTTAGGGTGTCAGGATACTTTCTATTTACACATATACAGATCTCAGACAGCAATGAAAACTGAAGAAGATGCAGATAGAGGAGCAGAGCTTCAACTGCTATCTAAATGCTAAGAATATGAATTTTTAAAAAGTTAAAGTAAAAACATTGCTGTGAGGATCACTGGGAAAAATATTATCCAGAGATAGAAGAGTCCACAAAAAAGGACACATAAAGGCAAAAGGAAGGTCAAGGTATTTAAGACAACTACTTTATTCTTGTGAAGACTGTGGAGATGGTGTTGATGTGCCTTGTTTACCCGACTTTCGTTCATAGTTCACTAGTCGTTGTCCCACAAGATATCTAAATTTTAAAAGAGCAGAGTTAGTATTAGGAAAAATTAATGCATTACAGTTGAACAAATAAAATTAAATGGCATATCTAGGCTTAAACCACTTTATATATAGGATCATAATATTTTGCTATTTGGAAAATACAGAACAGCGGACAGACACAAATAAGCATCAATTCTAATTGGTCTGAATTTCAGCAATAACCACCAGGAATTTAGGAGATAAATGGGCTAGAAGTGCATATAGAGAACAGGAACAGAAAAAAGGGAAAGGAAAAAAGAGAAGATGGAAAGTAAGGGAAGAAGGGATAAGAGGATGAGAAGACCTAAGTGATAAACATAAGATCTTAATTGCCGTAACAAGTCAGATTTACATATCACTTTAAGGCTCATGTAGTGGCTTCCTCAAAGCACTGTGTGAGAAAGGCAATAATTAATCATATATTACATATTATAAAATAATAATTAATAAACCTATTTTATATATGAGGAAACTGAGACTCTGAGATCTTAACTGATTTAACCAAGTTCACCTCTCACATACTTGCCAGTTGTGTGACCACTGGTAAATCATTTAATACCTTACAGGTTTAATTTCCTTATTTGTGAAATGAGTATAATTCAGCAATCATTTATTAAACACTTATCATGTGCATGCACTGTGCTAGGCACTAGGAATACCAAAGACAAAAATGAAAACTCCTGTCCTCAAAAAGTTTACGTTCTACTGTGTATGCATAAACAGAAAAATAAATGCAAAGTAATTTAAAAGTGGAGTATACTTGTACTAAACGTTGTTGTGAGAAGCGTATATTGCAAACCCTAAAGAGTTATACAGTGCTGTTTATTTTTATTTCCCATGTCAATTGTTCCAACCTTTCTTCCCCCACTTCTTTCATTAACAACTATATACCCACAGGCTACACTTCTACCATCTGTACTTCTATTTATTAGTTCTTTCTCTGGAGGAGATCCTTCATAGATTCTTTATAGTTGATTTGATCCTGTAAACTAGCCTCAACCTAATAGATAATCTTTTTTCCCTAAGCTTTAGAAATATCACATTCTTCTGGATTTTCCTTCATTTCTAGAAACTCATTCCCAGGTTCATCTACTTAAGGGCCAATGCATTAAATATTCTTAGTCCTCTTCTCTTCCCTTCCTAGCTAACCTGGGCAATCTCATTTAGTACGGCTTCAAGTGTCAGATCTATGAAAATGAATCCTAAATCTTTCCCTAGTCTTTACCTCTCTTAAAGATCCAAGTTCTTATCTCCAGCCACCTACAGGATAACTGTTCCTCAATATCCCAGATACTTCAAACCAGACATGTCCAAACAGGAGTTCACTATTCTTCCCCAAACCCACTTTCCCTTCTGATTTCACTATTTCTTTCTATAAACACCATTCACCATTTCTCATGTCTGTAACCATGTTATATTTTGACCTTTCTACTTCACATCTCACATCTAGTTATTAAGAATGGTCAATTCTACCTCTGTATTAACTCTAGAATCTTTTCCCTCCTTTCTAGCTCCATGGAATGACCCCAGTATAGGCTCTCTTTACCACCTGCTCAGACTACTTCAATAGTCTTCTTATACAGCTTGTCATGTCCACTTCAATCATTTTAAATTCATCCTTGACCCAACTACCAGATAATTTCTTGTGCAAATTTTCAGTAGTGGCCCTTTAGCTACCCAGTAAAGTCCAAACTCCTGTCAGCATTTGAAGGCTCTTCAGTCTAGCCAAACTGAACTACTCAGTGCCTTGAACAAACATTTAATTTTTGCAGCCCTTCCTCAAGTTGTTGGTTCCTCTGCCTAGAACTACCTTCCCCATTTTGCCTGTTTAATTTTTCTAACCATCCTCTAAAGTATAATTAAAATGCAACCTCCTCCAGGGAGCTATCCATAGTCCTCTCATAAGCAATGTACCTTAACCTTCAAACTTCTCAGAGTATTTTATTACGTGAATTTCTACCACTGTTAGCATGACTATTTGTGCTGGTATCTTATCGCTTCTATGAGACTGTTAGTTCCTTGAGGATATACACAAAGTCTTCTCTGCAAAAATAGCTGAGTAATGAATGCTAGCTATATTGTATTTTTCCTACCAACACAACATAATCATTAGTTTTTAATTGTTCCTTTTTACCACTTGAAAGTTTTTTCAACAATACAATCTGACATGCAAACCCAGACCATGATTTTGATAAGGTTATTTTTCGTGTCTTCAAGATATGGGTGGAAGTACTCAAGGCTGTCACCTAAGGCAGGCAGTACATTAATTTGTAGTAATCCAGAATTGACTTCAATCACTAAAAATGACCACTCCTCACATCAATGGGTAAAGGAAGAGTTTACTGTGGATTGTTGGAGTGATCTTGATTTTGAACATTTGCCAGAAAGAAAATTCACTTGGCTTTGTACCCTTTGATTATTGGGTACGCATGTGATTTCATTACTAGAGACATTCTTTTAAAAGTTAAGGAAAATTTAGCTGGTAGAAAGCATAAGCATAAAGTCATGATTTATCACACTGAGATGTTTCCAGTTTCTCATTCTTTCCACAACAAATCTTTCAAAATTTCTTTCCCATGTTCTTATAATAGGAGAAAGTTTCCAACCACTATTTTGAATATTTAGAATAACAGTCCTGCTATTTGGTTTAGGGTAAGGGGGTTTATTCAGTCCTTCTGCATTATATTTGCTTTTCCATGGTTTTTATGACCTATATTAAGAACCATTTGAGATATTGGGAAACAACATAATTAGCATGAAAAGTGGTTTAGAAAGTTAAAAATGATTATTTTGGTTTTTTTCGGGTTTTTTTAGGCAGTCAGGGTTAAGTGACTTGCCCAGGGTCACACAGCTAGTAAGTGTCAAGTGTTAGGTCTGAGGCCGGATTTGAACTCAGGTACTCCTGACTTCAGGGCCGGTGCTCTATCCACTGTGCCACATAGCTGCCCCTAAAAGATGATTATTTTAAAAACATATGTGTTTGTACTTTTTCTTTCTTTCTTTTTTTTTTCTTTATCTCTACTAGGAAGTATTCTAATACAGAAATTAAATTAAACTCAGTGGCCCAGATGAACCAAAAATATAATGCTACAAAAGCCTACTTATATATCTTTTTTACTCTTTCCACTTAATCTTGATTTTAGTAACACAAATTAAGAACTATGAGAAAGTTAAGAAGAAACATTATCCAAAAGTAAACCTGAAGACTCACTTGTCATTTTTAATATGTTCATAAAGGCGCTTGAACTGTCGAACCTGGAAGGACAGGATACCCATCAAAACTACCACCATTAGTAAAAAAGGATAAATTCGACGCTGTACCAAATTTTGCATTTCAGCAGTAACAGTAACACCTGTAAAATAAGTAAAATAAGCCCTCAGCACATGTGATAATAAGGGATGTGAATGCTTCCATGAAATCAAAATTTAAAGTAAAATCTAATTTCCCCAATGGTGAGGCAGTACTATGTATTAGAAAACTCAATGAATTCAAGATTCTAACTTCAATCCTCCAATAACTAGAAGTATGACCCATTAAGCAAATAATTAAGTCTACCATTTCTTAGATCCAGTTTCTTCACCTAGGAAATAAAACAGTTAAACTAGATCTCTGAGGTTTCCTTCCAATTACAAAATTCCACAGAGTCTAGAAAGTAAGGTTTCAAGACCCATTTCACTGTGTAAGCCTAGGATGGAATAAATCCCATTCTGAGGAGTACAAAAAGATGAGCATAGTAAGAGCTGGAATAAATCTCAAGTTTTATCTAGCCCACACCCCCTTCACTTTAGAAAAGAACAAACTGAGACCTAGAAGGAGGTTATTCGATTTACTTAAGATCATACAGTTAATACCAAAACCACGACTAGAATCCACATTTCCTGATTTCTCAGTCCAATTCTTTTTCACTATACCAAGTAAAGTCAACAAGCATTTATTAAGGGTTTACAATATACCAGTCCCTATACTAACTACCACATAGTTTCTTTGGCTAAAAGCAAAATTAATGTTACATGTTTTATAAGCATTATAAACCTAAATACTTTAGTGACTAAGACAAATTTAAATTTAAAAAACTGAGCATAAAATATTATTTGGCTATAATTTTAAGAATTAAACTTTTTTGATTACTAGAATGAATGGGAGAACAGTATAACATAAATAATTTTAAAATTCACTTATATGGGCTTTGCAATATATTTTTGCCATTTACTCTGCATATAGGTATACATAATATTCTAAGTATTCAGTACCACTTCACAGAAAATAATTAAGCCACAAAATCAAGTATCTATACTGAGAAAATGATATAACTATTTATATTCTGTTCTGCGTTCCATTTTGGAACCATTTCTCTCTCTCTCTCTGTGATATCTCCTAATTTTGGTGTCTGATTGACTCATGACTGCGCAGGGCGGGAAATATTTAAAGCATTTCTTTTTGAAAGTCCTTTCTTGTTAAATGGGAGAAAATCTTAAGCTTTCTTCCCTTTCAGTTTGTGCTGAACTATGATCTTATGCTTAAATATATATCAAGTAAAAATAAGATGATAAAACCAGCCCCATTTATAAGTATAGCATAGTTGAAGACTGTTTCTTAACTCCACTAGCAAAATAAATATTCAATGAACTGAATGCATCTAGCATATTTTCCACTAATGAACAATATGCAATGTACGATTTAAAATTATTCTATTATTAAAATGACATCAATGACATTGCTACAAATGAACATTTGAGTTTTTCCTATTTCTCTCGAGGACAAAGAAAAATCAGCAAAGCTTAGCTTACAATATTTTAAATTGTGAATATGTATGACTACAGAAATTTTTGTCACAATTATATGGTGGGAAAAGTCATGTAACAGGCTCCTATCTACTTTGAAAAAAGAGTGGTATTTCAATACTAGTATTTTTACAGGGATACTGTGAAGAACATTGTCTTTGACAAATGTTTTTAATGTCTTATTTCACTATAACCTAACAAAACAATGCTGAGACATTGGGGGGAAAATTGGCCAACTACTAACATACAAATTATAACTTTTTCCTATAGGACTAAGTGCCTTCTGCAACCCTGTATCAATAAGGCTAAATTATAATAGCAATAAAAATCATAAACTGACAGTTTTAAAGATCCAACATCCTGAAAATCAAAACTTGCAGTAGGTGATGTAAAAACAATATCCAAATTTTAAGATTTTCTTCCTCTGGCTCTAGGTAGTCAATCTGACAAAATTATAATTTGAAATAACTTTTTTGTTGAAAAAATGAGTATACAAAATTTGGAAAATCATGCCATAAGATACCTAGAAGCATAAACACAATAAAGACCAACTTTTCTTGAAGCATTGAAATATAACCAGTCAACAACAAGAAGAATTTTACTCACCTAGTAAAGGTACAATACCAGATGCTATAATGTAAGGTACACAAAGAGAAAGCAACAGTACAGATATCACTGGTGCTGCTAGTTTTCGAATGATATAATGGAGATCAATATTACGGATGCCATTTGCATAAACCTAAAGCAATGAAAAAGCAGAGTAAGAGTAAGTGAATAAGAAAAAAACTTTCAAGGTAGAAAATATATCAACTGATCCAAAGTCCTACCTGCCTATTCATTTCACCAAACCAAATTAACTAAAATTTGTCTTTTCCTTAAAAGGTTAGGCAAGTGGCAGAAAACAGAAGTAAGAAAGCTACTCACTGGCTGACAGAACATTGCTCTGGGAGTATGCTTTCTATCTTGAGAAGTAGTAAGATTTAGAGGACAGAGCAAGTCATTTAACCTCGTAGGGCACAGCTTCCTTAGCTACAAAATAAAAGATATTGGCTAGCTCTTAAATTTATGATTCTATGAATACATATACCTATCCAACAATGTTGACTACATGTATTCTATACCTGGGAGGATTTGTCTTGGAGGAAAGAGTAGGTTCTTTAGTTCTGTTCTGTATCCTCTACTAAATAGGAAACACAGGAATATATTTCCAAGGAAAAAAAATATCTCCTACAAATGTGAGCAGCTGAGAGATTCTTTTGGCTTAACAAGTTCCTCTTTGGAAATATGAGTCTATATAGACTAGAATAATCTGACCACATCATGGTGCATTTCTTTCAGTGAGATCAATAAACATCAGCTAAGATGATTCGATAGATGAGTCAGCTGAAAAAGAGGAAGAGATAATTTTGGAGCATGAATAGCCAAAGGGAAAGAAAACAAGCATGAGTGGAATGCAATACAGGATTCTGGATAATGGAGAGCAGTAAACACGGGAAGACAGAAAAGAAAGGAAAATTTTGTTTCTATTGAAATTTTTTTTACATTCTTCTTTTCCATCTGGTAGAGAACATAGCTCAGCCTGACATGCCATCTACTTCCTATAAAACTAAAACTTAAGATGATTAAATATGTTTAACCAGCACTTCTAAACAAACATGCAACCACAAACTACCACAGGACTTCATCTTTTTAAAAACGGTTATATATCCCACAGACTTCAGCAAAAGACAAAGTCATTACTTAGGAGTATGAATCTGCACACCAAGCAAAATAAACAGACACTATACAGATGAGGTTGGTCTCCTGTACTTAAAACTTATTTGTGTTTTATAGATTTAGTTATTCAAATATAAAGTCTGCTGAAAGCGGAAGTATATCTTTATTTCTAAAGAACAGTAATAGTTTTTTTATCTGTAGTCAGGGAATGAGATATTTTATATTAGTGAATTTTCCAAATTAACAAGTTTATTCCTTAAAGTACCAAAAGATTTATCCCTCAAAGCACACAATCATTTTGGATGAAAAATCTTCTTTAAAATGATTTATACTTCCTTGTCTTAAAGCAGAGTAGGATGATAGTTTTAAATTGTTTTGATGACTCAGGGTTATTACTGTGAAAATCAATTATTAGATTGTTGCCTTTGCAGTGATGCCCTTAGGGGATAAAAGAGTTAGAGTTTTTTGGCCCTAACCAAAAAAAGGTGCAGGATGCTTAAATGGCCTTTTGTATCTACTTTCAAATATTTCCCATCTCTTCATTTGTAATCACTTGTTACTTCTGAATGACTTCAGGGTTCATGTCTCAAGCATAGTCTTTCTGAGAATCTTGGCTATCTGGTTTCCCAAACAAAGTCAAACTAATTTAATAGCCAAATTTATCAGAAGCAAAATAAGAGTAAGTGGCTCTGAATGAAAGCCTACAACAAAGAGTTGAGAATGTTAGATCATAAAGTAACAAAATATATTTTGGCAGCACAAAACCTTTTTTTAACTTCTTTCCTAGATTTTTATTTTATTCCTGACAGTTAAGACAAATGACAAATAAATGAAGTCAATTAGGTGAATTACTATTACAGGCAACAAAGTTTCAATGTTGTTCAAGAGAAAATTTTTCTTACCTGTTCAATTACTGTTTTCAACCACCACTGAGGTCCCATCAGTGTTATCGCTGCAATTATTTTGGCATGGAGAACTCCAAGGGCCCAGTCCTAGTGTATAAACACATTTAACTATTCAATTTTAGTGATGAAATGAGCCTATTATCAGTATACCAGCCTGACAATTTCTTTAGTTAATCTGTAAGAAGTATGCATCTCCTTTTTAAAATACAGGCCAAGGAAAAAAAGACCATTAATAAAAAATTCTAAGGCACTAGTCTATGCTAACACACTGGTAAAACTATACTAGAAAATAAATCTTGCTTTTTCCAAAAGCTAAATCCTAATGCCACTACAGGAATAAATTTCAAAAACATCTTTCAACAATCAACACATGGACTCCTAAAGAGAAATTTAAATCAAAGGAATTTTGTGACTGAGACATAACTCATCGTCTAGTAATTTCTGCATGGGATCACATAATTTCCATACAACCTCACCTCAAACTTCAGATGCATGCTTTATTCTTCCTCCTTATGTTAAATGTATTTTATTTTAACTTGAAAATAAGAAATCCACCGCAGTGGAAAAGTACTTAATAGAAACATCAGTAAGGATGTACTTGGGGCTTTGCCAAATTTCTCAATTACCACCAAATCTGACCTAGTTTAAGCTTTAGCTCCATTCCCTGAGTGTACTAAAGGGGAGGGGAGGGGAGAAGAGAAGATTGGAGGATATGGTGAAGGAAGAAGAAAATTCAGTACTAACGGCCTTTACCTGCAACACATATGGCCCAGAAAGGATTCTGGCCAAATGTGCTAAACTCCCTCTATATAAAATCCTCTGAGAGATCTCTGCAAACCTTTAATTTGAGCCTTCACTTTACAGTAGTGACCAATGTCCTACAGCACTGATCTTTCCCTGAAAATGGACAAACTAATCTGGTTTATAAGTTGTGGGACTGGCTCCTAGATCCAAAGTAAAAATATGTTGGGTTTCTAATTAGTCATTTCTTAGAAAAGAGCAAAGCTCACAGTTCTCATCATATTCTACTTCAGTTACAATCCTTCCACATCTACTGACCCAGAGACATGAAAGCCATAATCTATCTAAAGAAATCACAGTTTAGGCCCACAGGCAGGTAACCTCTTGGGTACTGAGGGAAAGTAAACTTGAGAGAAGAGGTTGTTTCATTCATTGGCTTTGCATCCTTAGTGCCTAGCACATAACTGATACTTAATAATTATTTAAATGATTGATTGAAAAAGAAAAGCTGATCAGTTAGCTGTCTCCACTCAATATTCTAGCTGTCTTTACAAAGAATCACAAAATGTTATTTGAGCTGGAAAAGATTTTGGAATTATTTATTTCAACTTCCCCATTTTAAAAAGGAGAAAATGAGGGGCAGCTAGGTTGTGCACTGGATAGAGCACCAGTACTGAAGTCAGGAGGACCCAAGTTCAAATCTGGCCTCAGACCAAACACTTGACACTTATTAGCTGTGTGACCCTGGGCAAGTCACTTAACCCCAAATGCCTTAAAAAAATTTTTAATTAAAAAAAAAGAGAGAAAATGGAAGCCTAGTCAATTCCAGTGAAATGCCCAGAATCATACAGAGAAGAATGGCAAAATCAGAACTAGGAATCTTCCAAACTGCTTTTATTAAGTTAGATAATATACGTAAAGCACCATACAAATATCAGTTATCATTATTATTGCTGTTGGATTGGACATGTGATTTTACCGGCACAGGAAATTCCTAGTTGAAGAACCTTCATCTGTCAATGCAGACTGGCACTTGCTCTTCATTTTATATTTCTAGTCTCTGAGAGATGCCCGAGGACAGTGAAAGGTGAAGGGACACAACCAATATGTGTCACAAATGATACCTGAGCCCAGATATTCCTGAATCCACGGCCAGCTCTCTAACTACTATGCTACGACTATCTCTGGTAATCTCTAGCTGCAGAGAAAGAGACCTAGAGATTCACACTTTTAGGGTTTTTTGACTTACGCTTTTTGGGAAAACTTGAAGTTCTATCTATTTTTAACCTCAAGATTTTAGGAATGGCTTCAAACAGGTATGGAAACATGAAATCACCTTTACAATTTCTAATGAACCTACACTTATTCACTTAATCAGAAAACACTTATGAGGTAGCTATAATGTCTTAACAAATATATGTTTATAAAGCAAATATTAACTACACCCATCTCATCTTTTTTTGTTTGTTTGTCTGGTTAGGCAATTTGGGTTAAGTGACTTCCCGGAGTCACACAGCTAAGTGTTATGTGTCTGTGGCCACATTTGAATTCAGGTTCTCCTGACTCCAGGGCTGGTGCTCTATCCACTTCGCCACCTAGCTGCCCCTCATCTATCTCATCTTGCTGTAGGAATCAACACTATATGACTTAAAAACTCAATGGCACTATTGTAAGTAAAATGCTGACTTATCTTTATAGTTCTGCTTCCTAAGATCATAAGAATATCTGATAGATTTTTCAAAAGTTAAGAAATAGGGGGCAGCTAGGTGTGTGACCCTGGGCAAGTCACTTAACCCCATTGCCCAGCCAAAAACAAACAAACAGAAAAAAAAAGGTCAAGAAATAAATCAAAATGAAGACCTGTATGTTTCCAAATTAGTAGGAAAATAGCAACTGAAAGAGACAAGAACTGACCTGCCATGGGTAAAACAAAGGTGTCTGATCCAATGGAACCCTCAGTGGTGCAACAATTACCAATTCAAATAAAAGTCCAAGCAGAAGTGGCACAACACCAGCTAGTAGTACTGCTACTATCAAAGTCTTCATTATCTAATTAGAAAGAAAATGTCATAAGAGGTAACATGCTTTGGACATTTGTTTACCAGGACTTCTATTATTATCGTTTCTCAGGAGAGAAAAAACTATTGTTGGTAGCTAAGAAAAAAATACATATTGCATTTGTTTGAATATAGCCCAGCTTTCCCCCAAAATAAGATGTAGCACAAAATGAGGTATCTTTGAAAAGAAAAAAACATATAAATAAGTACTCAAAAATACTCATCCAGTATTACCATAATGAAAGACTACTTTCTGTAAAACTTTTTCCTTAAATGTTTTTCCAATCAAATAAATAAATTTTATTCATATTTGATATTCACTATCCCAAATACTTCAACAACAAAAGTGATAAAGATGTTCTCTCCTTTCTGATCTTCTTACTATATACATGACATACTGCTCTTAATTTTTAAACAAGCTAGATTTTGAGGGAAAGCCTTTAACTTAATAATACTTAATTATCATTATATAATAATAATAATTAATAATAATGAATTAATACATTAACTCACATCACCTTTAACAACTTTTGGGATAAATAGGGCAATCAAGATTACATGAACATGTCAACATAAAATTTGGGGAAAGAAGTCCTTTTCCATCTTTTGTGTTAGAAATTCTGATGAAAGCACTTTAAACTTTAATGATGGCACGTCACATTAACAGAAAGTACCATAGCCAAGAGATAAAGAAAACTGGAAATTTGTTTTATTATATATAATAACAACGCTGGTACAAAAAATGTAGCACTTGGTTCTTTGTATATACATATTTTCTGTTGTTCCAAATAGAAAATATATTAGAAAAGCAATAATAAAAACTATGATTACGTATGGCTTTATTGAGTACATTAATAAGTAGCTCTCACAATTTAGCAATCAAAACTGGTACACCCCCTGTACAGTGAAACATAATTTATTTCTCAAGCTCTCTAGTAGGCAAAGGCAGTATGAGTCTTACGCTTGTACTCAAAATCAACATTAAAGATAACTGAAGACAGAATACAAACTCAAAATGAAGTATGACAATCTTAGATAAGTAAATGAGTAAGCGCAAAAAAGAAGTAGCCTACAAATTGTAAAACTTACCAGTCATAATTCATTATAAAGTGAGCTGATAACTATATTGGTTGCTGATTACTACTTACTCTAATATGTACTATATATATATATATATATATGTATTTATATACACACACACATATGGCCTAATAATGATTTTTCATATTTATAAGAATAAAGCTCTTAAAAATCAGAACTAGTTCTAACAATGAATCACCAAATATTCCAGTTTCTCTACAGCTTTCTTGAATTAGCATTACATCTGTAAGGAACAGGTATCTAGTTTATGAGTACTTAAAACAAAAAAAAATATTCTTGGCCTTAAATAATTATAAAAACACTTCAAAGTCTAATTATTTTGTTTAAAAGCATTGTCCTTTGTAATGAATGGCAAAATACTAATGCCCTATTAGAATTTTACTTTTATTAGCAGAATTTTAAAATTCCGTCTTATAAGTAACCCTTAAAAATAAAAATAAAAAAAGAATTTAAGTTACGCCACTACTAGGAGTATAATCTCATATAATACTAATCTAAGGCAATAAATTGAAAACTATATTACTCATTCTCTTAAATGCCAACACATTAGTTTTGTCACTCATAAGGGAATCAAGACACTATTCTCCAACAGAATCTTTTTTTTGAAACAAACTGACTTTGACGGTGAATAAACCTAAAATAGAAAGGAAGGGAAAAAGTAATAGTTAAGGAAATATACCCACCTATCAAAATGATACCTTTCTCTGAAAACTTACCATGAGGGACCACTCTTTAACCTTCTGAAAGATCACTCTGCGTCCCTGTGGCATCCACGCAACTAGAACTGTCACTGCCCTGATGGTTAACCAGCAGACATAAAGACCACAGGCAGCTGTGTATAGTTCATGGATTTTGGCAGTCCCCGTCCAAAATGACATTAACCACCGGCCAGCAAATACTGAAAATAGAAAGGCTGATAAATGAGATATATAGCTAAGTAAAGAGAATTGTTATCTTTACGTTGATATTAATAACAGGGTACATTTTATTAGCTGTTTTCACTATAGTAACTTGTCATGACTCTCATAAACTTTGGACAGTGTGTCAATTTCTTTCATTTAAAAAACTCCTCTTAAGAACCACAAAATGTGGGATCCAAGACATCTCCAAAGGTCTCATGATCAAAAACAATATCCACATCCAAAGAAAGAACTATAGAGTTTGAATGCAGATTGAAGCATATGATTTGCTTTTTTTTCCTTCTATTTTGTTTTGTTTTCTCTTTCTTTTGGTTCCTCCTATTGGCTCTAATTCTTCCTTACAACATCACTAAAGTGAAAATATGTTTAATAAGAATGGATATGTATAGCCTATTTCAGATTACATGCCGTCTTAGGGAGAGAGGCAGGGAGGGAGGGGGAGAAAAATTTAAAACTCAAAAGCTTATGGAAGTGATTGCTGATAAATCAAAATAAATTAATAGTAATTTAAAAAACTGTGACAAAGAATTGGAAATTATGGGGATGCCCAGGAATTGGGGAATAGCTGAACCAGCTGTGGTATATGAATGTAATGGAATACTATTGTGCTATAAGAAATGATGAGCAGGCAGACTTCAGAAAAACCTAGAAAGACTTACATGAACTGATGCTGAGTGAAGTGAGCAGAACCAGGACAACACTGTACATGGTAATAGCCACGTTGTGCGAGGACTGACTTTGACAGACTTGGCTCTTCTCAGCAATGCAAGGATCTAAGACAACTCCGAAAGACTTACAATGGAGATGGAGCCAAGATAGCGGAGTGAAAGCAGTGACTTGCTTGAGCTCTTCCCCAAACCCCTCCAAATACCTATAAAAATGGCTCTAAACAAATTCTTAAGCAGCAGAACCCACAAAAAGACAGAGTGAAGCAAATTTCCAGCACAAGACAACCTGGATGGTTGATCAGAAAGGTATATCACGCAGGGTTGGCAGAGGAGCGCAGTGTGGCATGGGCGCACAGACCCCAGTGAACATGGAGCAGGCTTCAGAGGACTGAAATGCAGGCAGCTGTGGTGGTTTCCAGACTTCTCAACCCACAAAAGCCAAAGGCAACTTAGAAGATCAGTGGGAAAAGTCTGTTTCTGCGGGAGAGAGGAGCTGGATCTTTCAGCCAGTTCCAGAGCGCAAAGCGCTGAGCATGGGCTCCTGGGTGGTCGCTGCGTCCTGAGCTTCTGGTCCACAGACTGAGGGGGAATCGAGTGGCTGAGCAGAGGGGGACTGCAGGGATCTCTTTCAGTGCTGAGGCAGAAATCTCTCGCTTTGCCCGTGCATGGATTTGGGTCACCGTTCTGGGCTGGTACTGGGGTAAAGAGAAGCGTTGGTGTGGTGCAGCTTGGTAGTGGCTGTGAACAGGAAACCCTCCTCACAGTTCCAGGACAGAAAGGAGTGCTTCTGGTCACTAAAGACTAGAGCACAGTCCAGGAAAGGAGTAAACACCTTGTCCCTTATACCACCTTGCAAGAACTGAAAATTTACAGGTCCCTACAAGTACCTCTGAAAACAGCTATACAAACACCCGAAGCTTGGGACAGTACATTTTCCACACTGGAAGCAGACTCTTACCTTAACAAAGAGTAAAACTCAAGTAATTGGCCAGGATCATGAGCAAGCAGCGCAAAATAGTCAGACTGTATTATCTTACTTTATAACCAGAAGAAGACAACAAAGCCAAAGCTCTTACATCCAAAGCCTCCAGAAAAATATCAATTGGTCCCAACACCTGGAAGAGCTCAAAAGGGATTTTGAGAAGCAAGTAACAGAAGTAGAGAAAAAGCTGGGAAGAGAAATGAGAGTGATACAAGAAAATCATGAAAAACAAATCAATAACTTGCTAAAGGAGACCCAAAAAAATACTGAAGAAAATAACACCTTAAAAAACAGCCTAACCCAAATGGCAAAAGAGGTCCAAAAAGCCAATGAGGAGAATGCCCTAAAAAGCAAAATTGGCCAAATGGAAAAGGTAGTCCAAAAGATTACTGAAGAAAATACTTCCTTAAAAATCAGAATAGAGCAATTGGAAGCTAATGACTTTATGAGAAATCAAGACACTATAAAACAAATTCAAAAGAATGAAAAAATAGAAGACAATGTGAAATATCTCACTGGAAAAAAAACTGACCTGGAAAACAGATCCAAGAGAGAGAATTTTAAAATTATTGGACTATTTGAAAGCCATGATCAAAAAAAGAGCCTAGACATCATCTTTCAAGAAATTATCAAGGAAAACTGCCCTGATATTTTAGAACCAAAGAGCCTAGACATCATCTTTCAAGAAATTATCAAGGAAAACTGCCCTGATATTTTAGAACCAGAGGGCAAAATAGAAATTGAGAGAATCCACCGATCTCCTCCTGAAAGAGATTCCCAAAGGAAAACTCCTAGGAATATTGTAGCCAAATTCCAGAGTTCCCAGGTCAAGGAGAAAATATTACAAGCTGCCAGAAGGAAACAGTTCAAGTACTGTGGGAACACAATCAGGATAACACAAGATTTAGCAGAGTCTGCATTAAAGGACCGCAGGGCATGGAATATAATATTCCTGAGGGCAAAGGAGATAGGATTACAACCAAGAATCACATACCCAGCAAAACTGAGTATAATCCTTCAGGGGCAAAAATGGTCATTCAGTGAAATAGGGGACTTTCAAGCACTCTTGATGAAAAGACCAGAGCCGAATAGAAAATCTGACTTCCAAATACAACACTCAAGTGGAACATGAGGAGGTAAACAGGAAAGAGAAATCTAAGAGACTTATTAAGATGGAACTGTTTACATTCCTGCATGGAAAGATGATATTTATAACTCATGAGACCTTTGTCAGTATTAGGGTAGTTGGAGGGAAAAAATTATATGTATGTATAGATAGATAGACAGACAGACAGATAGGTAGAGGGCACAAGGTGAGTTGAAATTAAGGGGTCATATCTGGAGAATAAAATTAAGAGATGAGAGAGGATTATACTAGGAGAAGAAGAAAGGGAGAGGTAGAATGGGGTAAACGATCTCACAAAAAAAAAACAGAAAAGAAAAGGCTGTTACAGTGGAGGGGAAACAGGGGAAGATAACAGGAATGAGTGAATCTTATTCTCACAGGATTTGGCTTAAGGAGGGAATAACACACACATTCAATTGGGTATGAAAATCTGTCTTACCCTACAGGAAAATAGGGGGAAACGGGGACAAGAGAGCAGGGCAGACTGGAAAAGGAGGTAATCAGGAGTAAATACTTCTGAGGAGGGACAGCGTCAAAGAAAGAATACAATAAATGGGGGGGACAGGATAGGATTAAGGGAAAAAGAGTTAGTTTTTCACAACATGTCTACTATGGAAGTGTTTTGCATAACTTCACATGTTGAGTTGCTTGCCTTTTCAATGAGGGTGGGTGGGGAGGGAGGAGAGGAGAAAATTTGGAACCCAAAGTTTTAAAAACACATGTTTAAAAAAAATGTTTTCACGTGCAACTGGGAAATAAGAAATATAGGCAATGGGGTACAAAAGTCTATCCTGCCCTACAGGAAAATAGAAGGGGAAGGAGATAAAAGTAGGGGCGGAGAAATAGAAGAGAGGGCAGACTAGGGGAAGGGGTATTCAGAATGCATGCCATCTTGGGGTGGGGGGAAGGGCGAGATGGAGTGAAATTTTGGAACTGAAAATCTTGTGGAAGGTAAATGCTGGAAACTAAAAATAAATAAATTTATATAAAAACAAAACAAAACAAACAAACAAAAAAACCAAAGACTTACAATGGAAAATGCTATCCACATCCAGAGAAAGAACTATGGAGTCTGAATGTAGATGGAAGCATACTATTTGTTCTCCTTTTCTTTTGTTGTTTTGTTTCTTCTTTCTTGTGGTTCCTCCCATTAGTTCTAATTCTTCTTTACATCATGACTAATGTGAAAACATGCTTAATATGAGTGTATAAGTAGAGCCTATCAGAATTCACACCATCTTGGGGAGGGGGGAGGAAAGAGAGAGGGAGAAAATTTAAAACTCAAAATCTTATTGAAGTGAAAGGTGAAAACTAAAAAAGAATCAGAAAATGTTAATAGAAAGGAACTAAGAAATTATCTAAGCCAATTTCTTCATTTTACCTATGAGGACACTAAGGTATAGAGGGGCCAAGAGAGTTTATGATTGTTTGATTAAAATTGCTCCAAAATATTGTATATGAAGAAAATCTGCAACAAGTTCTCAAACTCTTTGATATGCACGCCAATGTATTTTTTTTTAAATTTTAGGTCAAAGTACTATTGAAGGCTTTTTTTTTTCAGTAACTGAAAAAATTATGTGAGTAGGCTAAATCTGGAAAAATCTGTGATAAATGTAATATTTTGAAGATTCTAAAAGAAGTATGAACATTAAGAATTAACTTCTTAGAAGTGGCTCATTTATCAAGATGCAAAACTAATTATATTTTAACAAAGAATATGTGTGATATGTGTATACATATTTCTATAAAGTTTTAGTAAAGTGCTATCTCAAGAATCATTGTTATATAGGTAATAATTTCTTGAAAACTATCTGAGGGGGCAGCTAGGTGGCACAGTGGATAGAGCACCAGCACTGAAGTCAGGAGGACCTGAGTTCAAATCTGGCCTCAGACCAAACACTTGACACTAGCTGTGTGACCCTGGGCAAGTCACTTAACCCCAATTGCCAAAAACAAAAAAACACACAAAAAAACCCCCCAAAACCCCCAACTATCTGAGTAGAATATGAATTCTTACATGCTCTTCCATGATGGAAAGGCTTAAAGCATGGTCTTGGGGCAGCCAGGTGGCATGGTGGATAAGGCACTGGGCCTGGAGGCAGAAAGACCAGAGTTCAAATCTGACCCTCAAATACTTACTAGCTGTGTGACCCTAGGCAAAATCACCCAACACTGTTTACCTCAGTTTCATCATCTGTAAAATGAGTTGGAGAAGGAAATGGCAAAGCACTCCAATATCTTTGCAAAAAAAACCCTCCCAGTCTGAAGCTGTATTTGAACTCAGGTCCTTCCTGACTCTAGGTTCAGTGCCCTATCCATTGCACTACCTAGCTACCTGACATACATACATATACATATATATTTTAAAGATTAGATAACAAACTTGCAATGGACCAAGCAGGCAAGGTTGTGTGACATCCTTGACCAATGTTAAGCAGCATACAAGTAGGAAAGTGAAGGTAAATGACAGGAGTAACCCAGGTATGGGATATGGCAGGGCATGATTGGTGATAACATAAGGAAGTAGAGATTCCAGAACACAGGTGAAGTGATTCATCACAGGTTCAACACTGTGAAAGGAAGGTGACATTAGAACAAGAGTGATAGACTAGGCAAACAAGCAAGAGTGGTCAGAGGGAGGGCAGCTGGGTGATGCAGTGAACAGAATGGCAGGCTGGAGTGCGGAAGATATGAATTCAAATCCAGCTTCAGATACATACTAGCTGTGGAACCCTGGGTAAATCATATAACCTTCATTTGCTACAGTTTTCTTCCCTTGAGATAATAACAGCACTTACCTTTTTTTTTTAAATTTTTTTTCATTATTAATTTATTTTTAGTTTTTTTTTAAAGGCAATTGGGGTTAAGTGACTTGCCCAGGGTCACACAGCTAGTAAGTATCAAGTGTTTGGTCTGAGGCTGGATTTGAACTCAGGTTCTCCTGACTTCAGGGCTGGTGCTCTATCCACTGTGCCACCTAGCTGCCCCAATTTTTAATTTTTAAGAATCACTTCCATAAGCTTTTGAGTTTTAAATTTTTATCCCTCTCCCTTTCTGCCTCCCTCACCAAGAAGGCATGCAATCTGATATAGACTATACATATCCATTCCTATTAAACATATTTTCACATTAGTTATGTTGTAAAGAAGAATTAGAATCAATAGGAGGAACCACAAGAAAGAAGAAACAAAACAAAACAGAAGAAAAAAAAGAAAGAGCAAATTCAAACTCCATAGTTCTTTCTCTGGATGTGGAGAGCATTTTCCATCATGAGACTTCTGGAGATGTCTTAGATCCTTTCATGGCTGAGAAGGGCTAAGTCTATCAAAGTTAGTCATCGTGCAATGTGGCTGTTACTGCGTACAACATTCTCCTGGTTCTGCTCACTTCACTCAGCATTAATCCATTCAAGTCTTTCCAGGTTTTTCTGAAGTCTGCTGGCTTATCATTTCTTATAGCACAATAGTATTCCATTACATTCATATACCACAACTTGTTCAGCCATTCCCCAATTCCTGGGCATCCCCTCAATTTCCAATTCTTGGCCATCACAAAAAGAGCTGCCATAAATATTTTTGTACATGTGGGCCTTTTCCCATTTTTGTGATCTCTTTGGGATACAAGCCCTAGATTATTATAGACCTTTGGGCATAGTTTCAAATTGCTCTCCAGAATGGTTAGATCATTTCACAACTCCACCAACAATGCATTAGTGTTCCAATTTTCCCACATCTTCTCCAACATTTATCACTTTCCTGTTTTGTACAATCTGATAGGTGTGATGTGGTACCTCAGACTTGTTTTGATTTGCATTTCTCTAATCAACAGTGATTTAGAGCATTTTTTCATATGACTATAGATGGCTTTAATTTCTTCATCTGAGAACTGCCTGTTCATTTCCTTTGACCATTTATCAATTGGGAAATGACTTGTATTCTTATAAATTTGATTTAGTTCTCTAGATATTTTAGAAATGAGGCCCTTATTGGAGACACTGGTTGCAAAAATTCTTTCCCAGTTTTCTGCTACCCTCCTTATCTTGGTTGCACTGGCTTTGTTTGTAGCACCTATCTTTTAAGATTGTTATGAAGATCAAGTGAGAGAATAATTGTAAAGTGCTTAGCACAGTGTCTGGTACATCAGAAGTACTATATAAATGTTAGCTATTGCTGTTCATAGGACACTGAAGTTCGAATCCAAAATTCCAATCTGTAGGTTAGTTACTCAACATCTTTAAGGATCAGTTTATTTTTCTATAAAATGGACTACCTATAATATGGTTCCTCTTATCATTGCCCTAAGGGGGTGATAGTAAACTACCAAAATGAAGGTCTGTTCCTGACATACTCCTGTCCAGATCTTCAACTTCCAGCTAGGTTAGAACTGAGATTGCAAAATTTAAACTATAACTGGCTGAAACAAAACATTTTATTATTTGTAAATAATCAGACACTCATTACTGGAATGTAATCTGTTCCTAGATCATAATGATCACTAGTCATGATCCGTAACAAATCATAAATATCACTATGTAATGAGGTAAAATCCAAATCAACTAGACTTTTTAAAAATAATGTTTCATGTTTGACTAAATACAATTTTAAAATGTCCATAAAAAAATATGGATGATATGAACCAGTATTCTGATTTTTTCACAATGGATAATAAATTCTTTCCTTGACCAAATCTTCCAATTCCTTCTAATATACATATAGGTCAAATAACCCAAGGTGGGAAAAGCTAAACAGATAACGCATACTCAATCAGAAATAAAAGTATCAAGTAATTGATTTATAGGATACACATTTCTCTCCAAATCTGGCTAATATAAAACTTCAGTACAGCAAGCACAGCCTAATATCTGTATTTTTTTCCTTTCAAAGAGATCTCACTTTAGATGTATAGCCTGTATTTGAACCAATACATATAAATGCCATTTAAAAATTATATTAACACACATTTAAACATATTTCTTTTTAAAACAGTGGCATTAAGGATAATTTTAGTTAAAGATTAGAATAAAAAACATACCTGGTAAAGTAAGGCAGATGAGACTGGCAATCAATAAGGTTATACACATGAAGACAATCAACAGAAATATCTGTGATACAAAGCATATAGTATAAACATCTTAAAAGGGCTTAATTTATTTCATAACAAATATTAAAAGATTATTTGCAACTTCAGGTTTTATATTTAAGCTAACTCCATCACATATAAAAAGAAAAAAATATTCTATGGAAATATCAACTAGAACTCAGACCAAAGAAAATTTCTATAGGCTCCTGTTTTCATCTGAAACAGATACAATAACAAATTACAGGCAACTGTATTTCTATAAAGAGAACATTAAAATAAACTTGCAAAAGGACAGTCAATTTTTTTCACAGCCCATTCACTTTAGCTAAAATGAGAAACTCTAGTATTCAACCTTACATAAGTAAAGATCTAACAAGCTTTCCTTATGAAAAAGGAAAATTACTAACTTTACATACATTCCTAAAATGCAATCAACCAACTGTTTTCATAAACTACTTATAGGAGGAGAACTTAATTGGGGGTCCGTGGATAGATGTCAAGGAGTTCATGTGCACTTACATGGGAAAAGATTATATCATTTTCACTAATTTCTAATTAAAATTTTGTTTTTTCTTCAACTATTTAAAAACATTATGATGAATAACAGCCTATGAATCCATATGTTACACCAGACTGGCAAAGGGGTCTTTGACACACAAAAAAAGTTCTTATGACCCCTGACTTACAGGGCCACTGCTTGTGAATTTGATTTTTGAAATAAAAGATAAAATGCAAATAAAATACTTTCTTCATATTGGTATATATGCACTTAACTCTGCCTCACCAACAAAAGCAAAAAACAAAACAAACAAAAAGGGGCAGCTAGATGGCTCAGTGGGTAAAGCTCCACCGTGGAGTCATGAGGACCTGAGTTCAAATCTGACCTTAGACACTTGAGTAGCTGTGTGACCCTGGGCAAGTCACTTAACCCAGATTGCCTCATCAACAAAAGCAAAAAACGAAACAAATAAATATATTGATATATATGATAAATACATAACTACATATTATCAGTTATTCTGTGAAAAAATGTTACTCAACAGTATGAACCCAAAATATAGAATTCTGCTTTTAAATAAATACAATATAGTCTAATTTTAATTAGTTTATTATACAAATTTATGGGCAATAATCCTTGACAAGTAATGTTCTATTTAACAGCCAATCATGATTTCTCATAGAAGCCCAGTTTTATTTTTTAAAATGCTAGATGCTTGGCAGCTGATTTCTATAGTAATAAAACCATGATATCTTTTTAACTGAAAATGATTAATATATATATATATATATATATATATAAAAATAAAATGTTAACAGATGTTAAAGATTCATTTTTTTAAATCAAATTAATTTAGAAGACTCTGAAATTTATACATTTTCATTAACTCTACTACAATCCATCTAATACTGAGGTTTTGAAAATTTCTAAACATACTTCATTCATCCTTTACAAGCATGACATATAGCATGGAAAACAGCCATACTATTCAGTGAGGGCTGGCAACTACAAGAAGAGCACCATTTCTTAATAGAAATCTTCCAGAGGTGGTGAACCTGCAGCCTTGAAGCTGTCTGACTGAATCCAAACTTCATAGAACAAATTCCCTTAATAAAAGAATTTGTTCTGTAAAATTAGGACTCAGTCAAAAGGCCTCACTCAAGGACCCAGAAGGCCACAAGTGGCCTTGACGAGGCCCCAGGTTCCCCACCCCTGTACACAAATCTAAAAGATACAAGATACTGAAAAAGGATTTACTGTGCCTACCCTGAGTGGAAATTTTAAAGGCCTACGGTAAGGCTGAAAGCCCACAGGTCCTCCTTGCTGAAGTATGGCTTGGTGGGCTGCATGAAGTCCTTCCCCCACCACTGGGATGGCATTGTTATTACGAGCATGCTGGTTGTTGTTAGCTTGTTGGTTTGCACTGTTTTCATTCTCTTCTTGATCCCCAAGTAAGTAAGAATGAAGATCCCTATGTCAAAAAGACCCATAAGAGAGTAAATAATTTAATACTAAATCAAAATATAAATCAAGTCAAGGGGAAAGAATATAGAATCAAAGAACCATACTTGTGATGATCTAATTTGATCCCCAAGGATGTAAAATACCTAAGTTCACCCAGGTGGCAAGTGGCAGAGCCAAAACTGTACCAGAGGTCTACTGACATAGTCTAGTGCTCTTTCTATGCTACCACAAATGGATAAACGTTAATAATTCCTCAATGATCTGCTTCTAATGTATATTTTCTACACAGGCAGATCCTGTACACTGTTGCTAGGTTGAGATCTCATCAGGACAGATACTCTTTAATCATCACAAGCCTTCTATACTATGAATGAGGAAAAAGAATCATTTGGCAATGAATCTTCTAACCTTTCTACACCTGGCTGGGATTATGCTGACTGACAAAGAATCTATCAGAAGCTCTGTGCATTAATCCTCTCCAGCTTGAGGTCTGTAGGTACAGCCTTTGACGTGAAGCCAGGGTCAATTGGGTAATAAGTAACAGAGGTGGGACCAAATTTGATCCTCCTTCTGCTCTATCAAACTGCTCCATGACATTTCTTAAATTTAAAGTTAAGCTTTTTTTTTTAAGGGGAAGGTTAAAGAGTGGAATTTTGGTAGATTTCTATTTCCTTAGTCTATTCTAAATCTCTCAAAAATCAATAACTATCCTGAGTTGTATTGGTGGTATAAATTAGGCCTGCTGTGATTCAGATTTCTTGATCATGAAAAAGAAATTAGCAATCTAAAATTATGTGCAAGGTACAAATTTTTTTTTAAATTTCAAAAGAGAGCCAGAATCTAATAGCCTCTAAAAGATTTTTCTTCTATATCCACAGATGTTAACCATGACACCTAGTCATCTGTTTCAGTGAAAGTCAGAAGATCAGAGGATTTCTAGATGGACAGAGTCTTACAGATCATCCAATTCAACTCCCTCATTTTAAAGATGAACTGAGGCCAAGAAAGACTAAATGATTTTCCCAGCCTAAGGACATATGGGTAATAAATGGAAGAGAAGGGATTTGGACCCAAATTTCTGATTCCAAATCCAGTTCTCATTCCATTCTGCCACACTGGGTCAATAAAAATTAAACTTCTGACAATCTGTCTTTCATTTCATGCTATAACAGGTAACTAGATGTGAGAGGCAATATCTTTTCTGAAATGATCTTTACCACAAAAATTTGTCTTAAAGCATGTAAAACAAAAATACACACGTCATGTCAAGGCCTAAGAAACACTCACAAAACTGAAAAGCACTACCCACAAGAATAGCTATTTTAAAATGAATACTAACTCCATGCAGGTTATATGCCAAGATGTAACTTCCAAATAAAGGGAAGTAAAACTAAACCACAAGAAGAATTTTTAACTAATATAATGAAACCAAATACTTGGGCAACTTCTCTACATATATTCATATTAGCATCAATTCTCAAGACTACAGTTTTGCCTACATAAGGTAAGGAATACTAACGATGGGAAACAAGGTTAAATTGGTACAAGTGATATAATTAAGATGTTGGTTGTTTATACTCACAGCAAGTATCCAGCAGTAACAGTCCATGCTCGGACAAGACCCTTCAGCCATTGTCGAGTGTGTCCTTGTTCAAGTAAAGCTGGCAATACCACCTGTAGCAGGAGCAGCTCAAGAGACAGTTCACTCACTGGGGCATCACTATAATAATAAAAAGGACCAAAACAATAAACTGATAAACTATAACCTGTATGAATATTTAAGGTGCTCTCTACTGTGATATGACACAGAACCTTTGCTAAACTCCTGATTCTTATTTCTATCAAAGGACCCTTTGCAGTAATATACAAGACTGTTAGGAACACAAGCTTTTGCTAATCTATTCTTCTCTTTGAAGTTAGAACTATACCTTAATAAATTTGTAATAAATTTTTTTGTGGGAATCACACTGTTCTAAATTTATGAAAATTCTAAATGTAAGAGAGGGATCAAATGCAATTATATTACTACTGTCATGTGTTAATTTAGTTCTACTGTATAGCTTTTTGTTTTTTTCTTCTCTTTTTTTATTTTTTGTTACAAGCAATGGCTCATTGGGCATGAGAAGGGAGGACGTAATTGGAAAGATGGTAAACAAAGGTAGTAATAAAAAGTAGTAAAAATAATTTGTTTTTTAGTTTTAAAGGTGCTTAATTTCCTATAGGCAACAAAGCAGTGACATAATCTAGCTCAATGTTTATAAAACACTATGGTCATGGGAGAGAAAAATGTTTTTCATTGGGATTATTTAGAAATAAAATCCATGAATGTATTTCTTTCAGGAATACAATTTTTTAGAAGTTCTAAAATAATACCATTGGCAAAATGGCATTATTAGGAAGTAATGTGCCATTTTTTATATGCAAAATTAATGTCATATACCATGTGCTCAATAATTTAATATTAAACTAACGGCATTTCCTTTGAAATGTCACTCTCTAGAAAATGCAATGAATATGGTATATTAATGTTTACCAGTTCTAATATTTTCCAAAACTTAGTTAACCTCATGAAATTACCTCTCCCCCGCCAATTCCCCTAAGAAAAATCAATGATATAAAGCACAGAATCAGAATATAAAATCCACATTAGTGAAGAAGTAAGGAAATTTCAAGTACAGAAAGCTTACCTGTATAGCATAACATTATATGGAAGAAAATTGGGCAACAGATTCTTAATAATACGTATAGGAAGCCACAGCATAAGAAGGACAATGGAACCAAAGACAATCTGCAACGAGTAAAATGACAGTAAACTATAACAACAGTAAATGGTTTATTTGAGACAGGCCAAACCTTTTAAGTTTTAAAAAAAAGTGCTACAATTAGTTTTCCAAATATATGCCAGTTTTAAGAGTCTAATATCCTTTTCTTTGGTCAAGACTATATGGAAAGATGAATTATACTTTATCAGCTTGATCTTGGAGAGGCAGCTAAGGGTAGTATATATGGTTGTGGTCTTAGAATCAGGAAGAGTTGAGTTCCAGTCCTGCCTCTGACAAATAATAGCTGTGTAACTAAGGACCAAACACTCCTCAGGAGCTTTAGGAAGCTCTTCAAGACTCTTAAGTGACAGAAGAGTTACCAATCTGCATCAGTGGAAGAAATCTGCACACCAGGAACATCGAATAACTAATAATAAAGATAACAGTCTTACCTGTAACACTAACTGTATCAACCTTGGTCAAGTGAACCTCGGTTTTATTATCTATAAAATGTGAATATTAATGTTGGTGTTCAGTCATTTTTCAGTCTTGTCCAATCCTTTGTAACCCTATTTGGGGTTTTCTTTCTTTTTTTTAGGCAATCGGGGTTAAGTGACTTGCCCAGGGTCACACAGCTAGTAAGTGTCTGAGGCCAGACTGAACTCAGGAAGATGAGTCTTCCTGACTCCAGGCCTGGCACTCTATCCACTGCGGCATCTAGCTGCATGCATGTGTGTGCTTATCCATGTGTGCGTGCACATACAGGATAGTGGAAAAAGAGCTGGCCTTGGAATCAGGAATATCTGGGTTCAAGTTCCACCTCTGACAAATTGGTTATAAGGGCAAGGAAAAATTGAATAAGCTCTCAGTGTCGCTCCGAATTGAAGAGGAAGTTTTCTTACTGACAGTCTGCTATAATAAAGAAATAACAGGCCCAGGTCAAAAATACCTGTTGTACCTACCTCACAAGGATGATGGGCAGATCAAATGACATAAGTATAATGTTTTGCATACTTTAAAACACTAGGTAAATTTCAATTATTACAACTAATTCTGCAATTATATTAAAGACATCATTTTGTTTTATCAAATGTACTAATTTTATTTCTAACAGAGAACAATAAGTAAGAGTAAAGTTACATTCTGCTGTTCTAAGGAAAAAAAATTCCCTTATGATATAACTGAAAAACAGTACAGAAAGAGTATAATGAATTAGGCAAAGTATATACAGAGTAACATACTTTATTTTGGGGACTAAATAAAAATGTTTCATTACCACTGACAAAATAAATCTCCGGAGATGTCTATAAATGGGCAAGTGAATCATTTCCTGTACTGGATTAAAATCTGGATCATTCAAATTCCTTAGAAACCACAAGACTCCAGGCCTCAGCACCTATAAAAAATAAATTCAAATCTGTAAAAATGTACTAACCAAATTCTCCAGATACAGCCAGGTCCCAATTAAGTGAATAATTAATTTTCTAAAGTAGTCACGTTATTTGAATACTGCTGCTGATTAAACTGACTAAATTCAAATCAATCACAATATTTTACATAAATACAACTTCAAATAATATGAATTTGAATATATGAAACCACTTAAGGAAAACAAGTTATATGCAATAATCAGGACCTAGTTGCATACGCATGAGACAAAATAAAACAGAAAAACAGGAAAGAAAAAAAAAGCTCTTACTATCACTTTGTCAATGAGTGAATTAAAAAGGATTTATTCAGTCCTTACTATGTATGTGCTAGGCACTGTGCTGGGGATGCATATACAAAAAGTGGGACAATCACTACCCTTTTGCCTCTTTTTCCTCTCTCAAGAATGAAGAATATATACCCTTTTAGTTGTGAGAAATGTGACAATGATAGTACCAACAAAATTGTTCCTATACAAAGGAAAGGAGGAAAAAAATGAGTTCATGCTAACAGGCTATACAAAAAACATCCTGAGTCTTATTTAATGGGTCAGCATAGATTAATAAATAGTCAGTTAATAAGCATGCAATAAGTGTCTACCTTGTGCCAAGCTATGTGGTAAGGTAGTAGGAAAGGCAAAAGACGGTCCCTGACCTTGAGGAGATGGCTATGTTCTGGCAAAATTCAGGAAGGGTGGCAAAATCCAATTCCATTAGATTTATAAATGTTTTGGAGGATAAAGATAAATGCAAAAAGTAAATGGAACTCTGATGTTTTTCTTTTTAAACTTTAGCATGACTTTAAAAAGGGCTTTAATAAATGACCCTCCAAACCACACAATTTGAATTGTTAAATTAAGAACTGAAAAAAACTTTTTAAAGTTTATTCAAAATAAAAATACATGCAAAATTATGGAAATATAGCTTAATATTTCCACTTCATAATCTGATGCTAGTGGTTAAAAGGGTTGCAATCCCCTTCCCCCCAAGTTTTTAAAGTACATTTCAATTTCTTTATATGGTATATCTATATTCTCTGGGTGCCAGCTTTTGAAAGAAGCTCTCTAGTGGACTACTTGCAGCAGCTTCAGTGTGCTGTCCAGAAGTAACACCAGAAGAATCAGGCTTATGACAGAATTCTCTGCAATTATTTAGGATGCAAACCCAATGCAAACTGCTAGAGCTTGTTATGAATCAGTAAATCCTTTAAATCTGAAAAGACTTATGTATATGCCTAAAGCAACCATCAATAGCTATAACGTGGCCATCTGCTGATATTTCCTGTATATGTATAAATGTATATCTAAATTCACCACAGTCAGCACCTAAAAAGTTTATCGTACCTTTTTTACTTATAAATTGCTGTGCTACTTAGTTTTGGAAAACAGCCAAAGTCTCATTTTCCACACTGAAAAATAAGAGAAAGCGCAGTCCTCTTGTCAACTCCTCTTTGTTTTCAAATTTTATTTACTGAACAAAAAGACTGCATTTATCTTGAGTCCAACAACCAAGCACGAACTATTGTTAAAATTTATTAGAGATCTCTGATATATCATACCTGGAGCATGACTCTATAGTGACTAAAGATTATATTGTTTACACTAAAGCTTCCTGGCTTTGAAATAAACCCAAATGTAGAAAATGCACAAAAATCACACAAAGTTGCTATAGCTATCTGCATCCTTTTGTTCAAAATATCCAATGGTTGTTCTTTTACTGCAATCAAGAAATTTAATTTCTTCCAAGTCATGAACAGGGTCACTTTTTAAAAGTTGCCTGATGTAATCCACTACTGCTGTCACTGATATTGTCTGTATCTCTCTCTGTACTCTCTCTTCATCATACCATTCCAGAACAGTTCTGGGGTTGAGTATCTGCTCATCCTATATCTTTGGGCATTTCTAAGTACTGATCACTATCTATTCTGGCAAATTACTTGATCTATTTGAATAGTCTTCCTCAAAGACTGAACACAACATCTGGCTAAAACAACTCCAGTCAGTACAAAAATTAACTAAAGCAACACTTGCATTGCTTAAAATTTCTTCTATCTTTACACTATCAAGATTTGTTCTGAGTTGTTATGGAAATAAAGATGTAAGTTTACACAAGCAGCAGGGAGCATCAGTGGTTTGGTAAGGAAAAGAAGACAGCCGCTTTCACTGTAGCAACATGGTCTTGACCAAGTGGAAGAAGAGGCAATGGCCAAGCTCTGCAAAGCAGTAACATCTGCTTCTCCTTTGGTGCCTACCATACCTCGAGTGAGTTTACATTACATTGGGGAAGAGACAACACATGATAAGAGCAGTGTTGGCCATGGAAGGGAGCTTTGGTCTGGGGATTTACAAGGATTGTAAATTAATTGATCCATAGGAAAACCTGAGGATATGCCCTTTCCTGAAATGATAGCAGTATTGATTGGCGAGCCCAGTATTGGGCTGGAGGGCAAATATTAACCCTGACTTTCAAAACAAGGAAGAGGATAGAACTACATGCCAGCAAGCTTAACTGCTATTTGTGGCAAAATTCTAGAACACATTTTTAGCTAAAGATTGGATTTAAACAAAAAAAAGGAAAAAAAAGAAACCCTAGAAAGTCCTTCTGGGAAGACAAAGGATTTCCGAAGACCAAATATCTTCAAGAAAAGCACACTCTATTAAGCTATAATTTTCAAATTAGGGTATTTTGAAATGTCTAATGTTGGTAAATACAAGTAAAAATGGTCATCTCTAAACAAAAAAGACAAATTAATTGGTGTCATCTAGTAGATAAGTCACAGTGACAGCTGATACTACTTGCACATAAACATCTGAGAGACCCGTTTCTAGTGTTAGCATTACCAAACAAAGAAGTTACTTGATTTTGTATAAGTTTTAATCTTTTGGCACCTTAATCATATTATCTTAAAAATATAATTTTACAGTGTTACTCTAGTGGCTCAACAGAAAGCATTACCAACAGTAGAGTTATTCCATGTCCTGTAGAAGTACAGGACTAAGTCGGATCAAATTATGGGTTTTAGTCCTAGTTCTGTCATGAGTGTCAAAGTGTAGACTGATCTGTATTGGACACTATTATCAAGTTCTTCACAGAATTTCTCTACCACATCATCCTCAGCCACTGATATTGTTGCATAAGCAGCAACTACTTTCATTAGTACTGCAATACATGATAGTACTTAAATCATTAGTACTGCAATATGTGAAAACCAAATAGTTCATAAAGTGTTTCTTGTTGTCTTTGAAAAGGCTTATTCTACTACCTTTTTTTCTTTACCTCTCCAAGGAGCACCTGTGAGTCATCCTTAACATTTTAGCTGAAACCTCCTTTTTCTTGTGGTTTCATTTAGGGCAAAAATGTCAAGATTGACATGATTTAGCTGCACCAACAAAATGTCGTCAATGAATAAGGATCTCACATTAAAAGTACTAATAGCCGAGGCAGCTAGGTGGCGTAGTGGATAGAGTGCCAGTCCTGGAGTCAGAAGGACCTGAGTTCAAATCCAGCCTCTGACACATAATACTCACTAGCAGTGTGACGTGACTGTGGGCAAGTCACTTAACCCCAATTGCCTCATTTAAAAAAAAAAGTACTAATAGTCAAACTGAACTCAACTCCTAGATGAACTCTAAGGTCCCTTCTAATGGTCAAGTTAAGCCAAATTCACACATCTTATTTCTTAAATTAAAAAAAAAAAGTGGTCATTATTAACATACACAAAAACATCCATAATCCTTTTAGGGGAATGTAACAAGGGATCACAGCTGTGATACTTTTCACCAATTTACAATGTAGTAACTGTTTTTCTTAGAACTTACCTCTCTTAGCAAGAGAATGAAAGAAGCAAAGTAGAAGACATAGACCATTCCCACTAGCCAGTGCAGAAACATCGTGGTACCTGGAGCAGACTGAAAGCTCAACTCTCGGTCTTTCAAAGTAGCATCAAACATTTCCTAAACCAAAGCAGAAAATATACATACAATAAAAAAGTGGAAACAATTTTTTCTATAGTTTAAAATTTGCCCAATTTATACATCTCACTTTTTAATAAATGAATAAGATAAAATGTTTATATATTTTTAACACATTTTAGACCAGAAATTTCATTTTATGATGTCTCAGTGTCACACCTATATTTTGTATCAGACTCGGAAACTGCTCTGGAGACACATAAAACAAAATTTAAGATGGCTTATTAAATATGGAGAAAATGTAGTGTTTTTCCAAAGTAAAAGTTATGTGCTAATAATATATCCACATGCTTGGCATTGTATATGCTGCCACCTAAAGATAACACATGAAAAAAGCCATTAGTAAATTAAAGAATGTTTTGTTATAGTTCCATGATGGAAAATATTGATGCAACAACTGAAGATCCTATTTTCTGATTATAAATACATCACTACTTCAAATATCTCCAATTCTATTATAGAAAAAGGGAAGGGTCTAAGGATTCATATAGCATATAAGTGCCAGGGACTGTGCTAAGTAGTTCTACCAGTATCTCATTTGATTCTCACAACAACCCTAGGAAGTAGGTGCTATTATTATTCCCATTTTACAACTAAGGAAACTGAGTTAAACAGAGGTTAAGTGACCTGCCCAGGGTCATATAGCTCATAAGCATCCGAGATCAGATTTGAATTCAAGTCTTCCACTGTACCACTAGTTCCTTCAAAGTACATAAAAATCATTACTATGACTACTTTATTTACTGAAGTCCTGCTCTAATGTCTCATTGTCACATGGAGAAGACCTCAGCTACTTGAAGACTGCAAGCTCTGGCATATTCTATCAAGCTATAAAAGCTCTGAGAACAAGTCTAAAGACAGAATATTATCCAAAAATCCACAGAGCTAAGTTTAGAAATACTCAACACCCAAAGGCCGTCCCCTGGGTGGTCAATTTACTTGGGCCATGCAACTCAGTTAAACAACTGTAAAAGTGTTTACTAAGTAACTGAAAAATAATGATCTACAGCAGTAATGAAAGAGACTATAAGTATCCGAAAAAGCTGATAGCTTTTCAACCTAAAATACAAGTATAATGATACAATGGAAAGACCAATGGATTTAGAGTTAAGAGATCATAGGTTCGAAATTCAGTTGTATCATTTATATAAGATACATGACCTTGGGCAACTCATGTCTCTGGGCCTTATTTATAAAATTGTGGGAGTAGACTGAACTTGGTGATCTTTAAAGAAAACTGTTCAGTCTAAAGAGACTAGAAACAGCATATCGTAATGCATAAACAGTCAAAGCCAGGAAGACCTAGGTTCAAGTACTGCCTTTAATACACAGTAGATGCATGAATACGGTGTTGAAAAATGCTAATCAGCAATGGTAGACGAAGTTTCCTCAACAGGAACTTCCTAATACCACTGAAATCACAGGTACAAATCTAAATTTAAAAAAAAAAGACTTGTCTTTTACAGACTGACATTCAGATGGTAATTAATGAAAAAATCTTTTCATCAATACAAATGATTATACCTAACATTAGCACAGTATTCTAATTTATGAATTTCTCATCTTGTCTTTTATCTATTATCCATAAAATTGCTTGACACCAGAAAACAAAATTAGTGCTAAAATGACTAATACAGATTGTTACTATTCTCTATCTGCTATTAAAAAGATGCAAGAATGCTGTATATTAAAATACAGTACCAGAAAAAATTCCTGTTACTATTTTATCTTTATATAGCTTAAAGATTATAGAAATAAACCTAATTTTTCAAGACTCCTTAGTCACACTTATTTTCATGAAAAAATCATCTAGTTGATAAACATTGATTTTTTTAAAGATTTATTTTTAGTTCTCAACACTCACATCCACAAGACCCAGAGTTCCAAATTCTCTCCCCATCTCATCCCTCCTCCAACCCCAAGACAGCGTGCATTCTGAATACCCTTTCCCCTAATCTGCCCTCTCTTCTACCTCCACCCCTTCTCTTATCTTCTTCCTCTTCTATTTTCCAGTAGGGCAGGATAGATTTCTATACCCCATTGCTTGTATAGCTTACTTCCCAGTTGCAGGTGAAAATAATTTAACATTTGTTTCTAAAACTTTGGGTTTTAAATTTTCTCCCTTCCTCCCTTCCCACCTACCCTCATTGAGAAAGCAAGCAACTTGATACAGTAAACACTGATTTTAAAGACACTTTCCTTCAAAAGTACCCTTTCAAGAAACTTCATGACTGAAAACTTAGGTTCACAGATTATATTCCAAAAAATACAATACTTACCAGAGAACATATATCTAGCCACCAGCCACAAATGAGAGGGAACACTCCAATTTCAACTACCACTAATAGAGAGACCTTAAGTAAAAACAAATTCCATCAATACTGTGATAAATACAGAACAGATGAATATTTTCAATAGTTTAAATTAAATAAAATATAAATTACCTTAACAACAATATAGCAGACCCCTAGTAAGCGACGGGAACGTTGAAATTTCACAAGAGCTGCCAAACCCTATATCATGTGGTCAAGGAAATAACTCAATACAACATCAGAACAAAGCACTTGGACAATATGTAATTTATGGATTGCTAATTTTGAGGTTGAGTTAAAAAGGATCTAACTATAAATTTGATAATACCAGCATAGTCTGAAGAAGTTGTAGAGTCTTCATTCCTTGAAATTTATGTGTCAGGAGTACTTTAATTCACTTGCTTGAAAGCAACACATACCAGAAGTTCTTTTAACATCTACCTCTACAACTTGCTGTGACCCATATAAAAGCTACCAGTGAAACCTGCAGCAGCAAAAAAAGTTGAAGTAAATCCCTCCAGATTTATACTGCTATTAACCTATAACTGAGAAAAGAGCAAAAATTAAGAGGGTAAAAGTCACAGGGGCTCAGTTACAAACTCTTGTTTATCAATGTCAAATATTGTTTCAGACTCTCCATAATCATAATTTAACTTTTGGTACTCTAAACTTTCTATTAATTTGCAATCTCCTGGAGGGCAGGGACTGTTTTTTGTTTTGTCTATGTCCTAAGCATCTGGCATGGTGAGGTACATTAGAAAATAGCGACTTAATGAGTTGTCATAACAACAGTTATATGAAAACATAAAGAAGCTGCAACCAAAGAGAAAGATGGCTCACAGGTTCTCTTTGGAAAAACAAAAAAAGTAGGTGGTGAAACTGGTTTTATCATTTATATAAAGGCAAAAAGAAACAACTTCTTGGGATAGTAGTCATGCCAGCTTGCTGTACTTATGATAAGCATAAGCAAAATTTCTACACCAAAAATAACTGTGATATTACAGAGCAACATCTTTTGGCAATGAAGAATTGGACCAAGTCAATAGTAAAATTTGGTGACTACAATATAAACTTGTGCATGCAGGAAGAACAATATGCTGACAAATATATAAGGAAATAATGTTCAGAATCAAGAAATGAAGTCATTCTCTAAATGATAAATGGTCAAAGGACGCAAAAAGAGAGCCCAGAAAGGAAGAAATTCAAATTATCAAGAACTATATGAAAAAGAAATGCTCCAAATTTCTGAAAACAACATATTAAAGCTTTTCTGAGCTTCCATTTCACACTCATAAGATTGACAAAGTTGACAAAAAGGAGAATGACAAATGTTGGAGGAGCTGCAGCACAAGAAGAACAGTAATGCACAGCTGATGGAGCTGTGAATTAGTCTAGGTGTTTTGGAAAGTAATTTGACACTATGTCCATACATACTCTGACTATACCAAGTCTACATCCCAAACAGATCAAAAAAAGTGGAAAAGAACCCATATGTAGAAAAATACGTATAGCAGCAATTACTGTGGTAACAAAGAAGTACAAACTAAGGGACTGCCCATCAATTGAGAAACGGCTGAACAAACTATGGAATATGAATACAATGGAATTTTATTATGTCATAAGAAAAGACAAAAGAGACCGTTTCAGAGAAACTGAGGAAGACTTCTATGAGCTGATGCAGAAGTGAGCAGAACTAGAAGAATAGTTTATTTAAGAACATCATAAAGACAAGCAACTCTGAAAGACTTTAAGTATTTAGATCAAAACAATGATAACCATAATCCAAGAAAACTGAAGAAGTATGTTACCCAGCCCCTAAGAGAGAGGTGATAGACTCAAGACGCAGAATGAGACATACATTTTTGAACACGGACAAAATGGGAATTTGTTTTACTTAACTATGCATATTTCTTATAAGGCTTGTTTTGTTTTCAGTAGAGAAAAGTGGGAGGGAAAGAAAACAAATGCTTGCTAACTTTAAAAAATAAAATAAACCAGCATAGCTATATGGCACAGTAGATAGAGCACCAGCCCTGGATTCAGGAAGACTTGAGTTCAAATTTGGCCTCGGACACTTAACACTAGCTATGTGACCCTGGGCAAGTCACTTCACCCCACTGCCTCACAAAAAATAAATAAATAGATAGTTCAAAAAAAAATTTAATAAATAAATAAAGGTAAAGCAAACTTTAAAGGATTAAGAAATAAAAGAGGCTGGAGGATTATAAAGTATACAGAAGTTTTTCACCTGTATAGCATAAATAATTTCTTCAAGAGTTAGAAAATGACATGACAAGAACTAAACTGTAAAATGTAAAACTGTATCTGACAGAGGGAGTCATTGGTTACCTATGTAGGAGTCATTTTCAAACTGTACGTATGCATACTATCAAATACTCAAATAACAGGAGCAAAACAAAGTCAGAAGGAAAAAGGTTACAGAATCAGAGACTTTTAGAATAGAAAGGGACTTCAAGAGGCTATATAGACCTACCTGTACATGAACAATAATCTCTACAATATTCCCAGTAAGAAATCAGTCAAGTCTTTGCTGGAAGACCTCCAGTAAAATGAAACCAACTGCCAGGGTAACTCACTCTTTTTTTCTTTTGTTTTTGAAGAGTGATTGCTATAAACTTTTTCCTTATGCCAAATCAAAAGCTGTTTCTTTTCAAGTTTCACTTACTGATGCTGGTCAATGATGCTAGTCCTATGCTGTGGGGCAGGTAGGATAGGCCTAATCCTTGTATAGGACAATCTTTTAAATACTTTTAGATAGCTCTCAAGTCTTCCATCTACAACATATTTTCAAAGAGAATAATTTAGAAGCCCTTCACTAACTTTACCAATGAGGAGACAGTCTCTGAAAAGTTTAAAAGACATGCTGATGATCATATCGCTGAGCTGGCATACAAATCCAGTCCTCCTGACTACCATTCTGGCATCTTTTGAACTATGCCACACAGCCACTAAGAGATACGAAAATAATCTCAGTTGCCAAACCCTAACCTTTCATAGATATATATCTATAAGAAGAATTACTGAGCAGTAGTGAAGAACCAATTAAAGTTATTATGAGATTCGGTTCAGTTCAAAGACTATTATGTACCAGGCACTGTACTAGGCAACACAGATACAAAGACAAAAGCAAACAGTCCTTCAAAGAGCTTGCTTTCTAGTTTTGAAAATCAAAATCTACACAGTAAATTAATATACTATCCAAAGTGATTCCTGAAGGGAGGGCACTAGCCACTAGATGGATAGGCTTCTTGTAGACTGTTTTCTCAACAGAAATCTCAAGGAGGCCATAGATTCTATGGGTGTATTCCAAAGACCTGAGGAACAGCCTAAAAAGAGACATGGAGATGGGAGATGAACTGTCACATAAGCAAACAGGACAATCTGGTTGGACTACAGAATATATGAAGAGTACAGTAAAACTGTAACATAAGCTGGAGACATACTGGAATGGGATTTAAAAGCCTAACAGAAGATTTTCTATTTTGTCCTAAGAACCACTGAAGCTTCTCCAACAGGGATATGTAAACATAAATCTGTAAGTTACCAGAGGTACCTACATCATTTTGTTCAAGGATACATGACAAATTATCAGTGATATTGCTAAAAGTACATAGCCAACTATTGTTGTGATTAGGCCTTCAAAATGAGATGCTTGGACCTAGAAAGAAAAAAGAACAACAATTCAAGATGCTGGAACCTACACATTCAAGGCACATATTTTAGTATGAGGCCTTCTAGGTTTTCATTGAGATATTCTATTATTGTACAACCCAGACCCTTTCCCCCTGCTGTCTGCTACATGTCAAAGAAGAACAGATAGTTAAAAACTATTTGAGAGGAATTAAAATATACTATTAAATTACATCAGTGCAAAAATTTAAAAACTTGAGATACACAGACATTTATTTATATTTGATTGGTTGAGCACTTAAAACAGGAAAACTTGGAAAATTTGTTTTGGTTGCTCCTCCAATTCTAAGCACATTGTATTCATTTACCTAAGAGCAGGGTAAAATAATAGATTCCCATGCTACATATCTATTTTTGCTTTGGGAATACAAGACAGTAACATTTCTCTTCACCTTTTTCAGAGTAATCCTAAACTCTTATACATGATGGCCTTTTCATGGCACCTATTCATAAAAGCATCAGACACTAGGGATATTATTTATTTCATATTCTAGATATAATTATTACATTATTCAGGATCAAAAATACCCATTAAAGACATGTCTCCTCATCTTGGATGGTCCCACAACCCACATCTCAGGATAATTATTTTAAGTTTCTTATTCCATGGCACTTTTGTTTATTTCTGAATTGGGGGTAATTTAATGCTAAGGGATGAGGAGTTACTCTCTTGATAAAACTGTTGATGGAGGGAACTAGAAATTGGATCTTTTGGAAAAATAATACACATGACTATAATAATAAAGGGAAAAGAAAAAGATAAGGGTAGCAGATTAGAAAATGCCACTGGCTATCTTCATTGATTAGAATATAAAGCCACTAGAGAAAGCTTTTCAATAAAGTCTCAATGTACTTAGATGTGCCTCAACATACTGGCTAAAAAAGTGTCTTAGAGTACTAGTAACTCTACATTGCTATTCTGGATATCTCCTTTCTACCTTCATTATTGCAGCTATGACTTCAGTAGAGAGGCAATTTAGTACAAAAGATAACACTAATGTAATAAAAAAATAAAGGATCAATCACACTGATTGAGTAACCATTCTCGAAGGATAAAGTAATTGGGAAGTACATGCCATAAAAAAGATATATTTTACTTCTCAAGATTTGTCTTAAAGTGACAAGAACTTAAAAGTAATTAATTAAAATAAATATCTTTAAATATTTTTAATCCATCATACTTACATATTCCTCAAATCCCAAGCCAACAACAGAAAAATGACCAATGTGGTAAGGACAAAATGCTAAAAGGGAAAAAAAATAAAACATGAAAACATCAAAATAATGCCTTTTTCTAGAACAGTCTATTCCTTGCCATCATAAATAACATGGGATAAGACCACAAGAACCAGGGTGTGGGAAAGGTATTCGTTCTCAAGCCTCTCTAATATACACAGGACCAATATTGCCTATATTACTAGGCATTTTACTACCTATGTACACTATATTCAATGTCAATTGTGCTGACTCATTCCTCTCCCCAGAAGGACAGGAGCTACTGAGGAACTTTAAAGTTATCATCTGGAGTAAGGAAAAAGTACTACTGTGGTAGCAGTAAAAAAATAAAACAAAACAAAAAACCCACAGTCAAGCACAATGGACTCCAAAGAAGTACAAGAATGTACCTCTCTTCCATTTTTGCAGGTATGAAGGAATAAGGGTGGGTATGTAACACTGCATAATGTTGAACTTCACTGATGTCCTACTTCCATATTTATATCTACAGAATCTAGCCCATACCAGGCATTAAAAAAAACCTGACTGAATAATAAATATGCTTACTTAAAGCACTAACTGCAACAGATTCTAATATGAATCAATTCTAATGAAAATTTATTTACTTTTAGAAGCCAATGAGGAAAATGCTTAAAAGCTCTATAAAATATTCCTCTGGTAGTTTGAATGGTATAGTACTAAATCTATAAACTAATTCAGATAGTATCATCATTTCTATTAAATAACTATTAAGATCACACAGAGACAGACAGAATCAAATCCAGGTTTTCCAATGACAAGTCTGGGGCACCTTTCACTATTTCACAGTGCCATTCAATAATACTAGTGAATTTAACTACCATTTATAACAACTTTTACCTAGGAAAATGTTTTAGCAATTCATGTTAAAATCTCTATTTCACTGCTAAGAAATCATAGAGAGGGAGAAAGATGCCATACACTATTCCAAACTACTCCATCCTCTCCTCTTCCCCTCAAAAACTGTGCTGGGCAGAGGGAATAGAAGCTTACCTAGCTCAAGACACTGGCCATGGCTCCTGGAGCAAAGTCTCTCAACAGAAAAGCAGAGACTGGGTAGGGCTCTAATAGCCAGAGAAAAAAGATTTCTACTACAGAGACAGGTCAGGGGTGGTAGAACTAGAGTAGACATGGAATGAAGTGTAACAGTAGCAAGATAGGTCAAACTCTGGCACTGGGAACAGAGATGGAAGGATGAGGAAGTCATGATTCACTCTAGCAGTTAGGTGAAATACTAGGTCAGCTACAGGTGAGGAATGGAAGGACAGAATTAGACCCAAGGCAGCAATAGATAGCAGAAATGAAGGGTGAGAAAAGTGGTGAGCTCCTACACTGAAAGGATGAGATTGGGGCAAGAGGAGAGTTACTTCCATCAGAAGGAGAATGGAATGGGTTGGTGGGTGTCTGATTAGCTTGCTAGAGGATCACGGTGACCAAGGATAATAGTGTGAATCTGCTACAATAGTGGTAGGAGGAGTCAGCTCCAGCAGTGAATGGGATAGAAAAATAAGAGGAAAGTTCAAGCAGTCAAAGCAGTAAGTCTTCAAATAAGACAGCTATTTATATGAGACATTTCTACACCAAGTGTTTCTAAGTCAAAGACTACCAGTTTTTAAAAAGTAAAGGATCCAAAACTAATCTAAAACACAACTCCCTAACAAAGAGATATATTTGAAAAATATTAGCCAGTGGGTACACCGGTGTTTTCCATATTTGCACCCCCAGCATTTATCTACTACAGTATCTTGAAAGAGCTGGCAGCTAATCAATGTTTGCTGAATTGAATACTTACCAAAGACAAGAATAAATAATGTGTTCAGAGACACCACCCAAAAGACGTGTTCCTTTAAAAAAGAAACGTACAAATAAAAACAAAGTCAAAGAACAAAATTATATAACAATATAACCAGACTTCTGTTCAGTTCACACTGTAAATTTAAGTAACACAAAATGTTACATAGAGGTAACTTAATTTAAAAATTTTAATAAATTATCAAACTTAAAATCTTAAATATATAAACTATGAGTATTTCTAACTAAAAAACAATACTTCAGGTGCAGAAAGCCTTCATAAGAAAGACTCAACAAATATTTCCTTAATATGCTTGATATCATCAATAGATTTGCATTATTTAAAACAATCTAATATAATTTTATTTCATTAAATTAACAACCAAATAAGGAAAAGCATTTTGAAAACTATATGTAATTTTAAGCAACCTAAACTCTGTTCTCTTTCATATAAAAAGATGATGCTATCATCAGTATTGTGAAATGGATTGTTTTCCTAACAATCAAATTGCTTTTATTTTTAAACTAATAAACATAACCTAATTTCACCCATAACAAAGTAACCAGTTTGTGACAACTGGCTAGGCCTGTGTGATACTATGGCAACATCACAGTTTTCCTCCATGTAAAGCAAACTGGTTTGTGATTTAACCACAGCTTCATTATCACCATGCTCTACCCAACTGAATAAACAATCCCAAATGAAAATAACATTAAAAAAGACACCAAAAGCACCTTTTGCCATGTACCTTTCCCATCTTCTCCAACAAACTGGTCCTTCAATCATCCCTTCTCTATCGCAAATCTTCATTCTCACCTTATGAACTAATTCCTTCCTATAAACATGCCTACAAACAAGCCCATGTCTCCCCCAGCTTTAATAACCCTCACTAGATCCTACCATCCTTTCAAGTTATCATTCTATACCTTACTACTTCTCCTTTTCACTGCCAAATTTCTAGAAAAAAGTTGTCTACCCTTGCCTGCCTCCATTTCCTCTCCTCTCACCCACTTCTCAACCCTTTGCAGTCTGGCTTCTGACCTCAGTTCAAACTGCTCTGCCCAAAGTAATCAATGATCTTTTAATCGACAAGTCTAATAGACTTTTCTCAGTCTTCATCTTCTTGACGTCTTCATAGCACTGGCCACTGCTTATGACTCTTTACTCTCTGGGTTTTCATGACATTGGGCTCTCTTCATTATCTTCTTAACTGTTTGACCACTGTGTATAGCCATACCCTTTAAGACGGTATCCCAAGGCTGTCTTGAGACTTCTTTCTACACTCTTTCAACTGGTGAACTCATCAGTTCCCATGGGCTTAATAATTATTCCTATGCGGATAACTCCCAGATCTACCCATTCTGTCCTAGTCTCTTTCCTGAGCTTAATGCCCCATCACCACTCTACTGCATATTTCAAACTGAATGCACCAAAGGCATCTTTTAACTCAACAGGTCAAAAACAGCACATTTTTTCTTTTAAAAAATCCTCCAAAATTTTCCAAATCCCCCTGTCACTGTCAAGGGCACCATAGTCTTTCCTGTCATCCAAGTATGCAACTTTGGTATCATTGTTGACCTCTCACTCTCTCTCAGTCCACACATCCAACTGCTTGCCAATTTGGCTGTTTCTACCTTCAGTACCTCTCTCTTATCTGTCAGTTCAATCCATCACTTCTCACTTGGACTACTGCATTAATCTTCTAATTGGTTTCCATGCCTCATTCACTTCCCCACTCCAAAGTCATTTTCCTAAAGTACACATCTTGCCAAATTTTCCTAGTGAATAAAATCCACTGGTTTCTTCTTTCCTCTAGGATCAAATATAAATTTTTCTACTAGCAGTCAAAGCTCTTCATAACCTGGTACAACTTACTTTTCCAACCTTATTACATATTATTCCCCTTTAGTCACTCTATGATGCAGCAAAATTGGCCTTCTTACTGTTTCTCATACACAATGGGCATAGTCCATCTCTATTCCTTTGTACTGTCTATCTTGCACACCTGAAATGAAGTCTCTTATCCCCTCTACTTCTTAGGATCACTAGTTTCCTTAAACAGTAAAATATGTGGCCTTTCCAAAACTACTAATTTCCTCAACACATTATTTTTGTTACCTGTTTTGTATCTCTCCCTCTCTCTCTGTTTCCCATGAAGGAATATAAGGCATTTGAGAGCAAGAACAATTTCATTCTAGCCTTTTCATCCCCAATTATTAGCAGAGTACCTTAAACGCAGCTGACAATAAATGTTTGCTGGCTGAGCAAAAAGACATTAACAATCTAAGTGAACTCCTCTGGGCCATGCCCTTTAGCTCAGTGATTACCTGGAGATTGAATCTCCTCTATTTATAACCCCAGAGGAAAAAAAATATTGGTATTTTTAGCTCTGGAGAGCCTGAGAGTAGGATCCGGGATCCCTGATAGAGGAGAGTATAGCCGCCCTGATAGATATGCCTCACACCTGGCTGGTATTCTAGAAATAATAAAGAATATTCCCCGGATACACAGAAATTAGATTTGGAGTTCAATGGAAAGAAGAAAGTAGACAATAAAGAACAGCATTAAAGTTTTGTCCTTTATTTACTCAGAGTTGCTTTGGTTTCATCATTTTTTTTCTTGACTATTACAATATAGAATTGTAAAAAACCACTGGATTCTTAGGTATTTGTACTGCATCCCTTATTTATCCTTATTTTAATCATTTATACTCCAATTTAAGTTAAAATTATTCATGTCATATTCTCTTACTAGACTGAAAATCCCACAGGGAAAGGGTCTATGTCTTATCTTTATATTTTCCCCAGCACTGAACACAAAGCTCTGTACATAGCAAAGTCTTAATAAATATTTTAAAATTTTACTCAGAATTACAAATATTCATTTTTTCCTTAAAATGGATTTTCTTCCAATAAATGCAATAAACTATTTTCTTATTACTAAATAATCAAAAGTAAAGTAGTCTTGTAATCTAAAGTATAAAATTATCCTGTTTAACAATCCCCCCTCCCTTCCCATTCCTTTTCAGAGGCAAGGAGTTTACAAGTATGGAACACTGGATAATATCAGATTTTGGGGATATATTAACTAGTTTTGCTCAACTTATACTCAAATTATCAAGAAAAATACTGATTAAATAAGTAAATCACAATTCTTTTCTTAAACAGGGTGAATTTACTTACTAGGAAAACTAGTGACCCATCAAGTCCGAGCATCTAAGGAAAAAAATAAAATAATCAGATAATGATAGTGAGTAGAATTTTCTATTCTAAAGAACCTCCTTTACCTTTATGCATTTTTGCCTACCAATGAAATACAAAGGTTTCATATGTTAGAACATTTCCATGCATATATGCTACATTGACTAGAATTACATATTTTTCTATTTCCCTAAAAGAAAAGTTTAAATAAACCTACTATCTTGGTGCTTAGTTTTAGCAGTAGATACTTCATTAACACACAATCAGTATAGGCATGTTTGAAATTATCTTTCTTCTTACACATGAATTTGTCATTTTACATTTTGAAAAAGTATATTCAAATCAAACTGCTCCTAAAACTAGCAATATTTTGCAATAAAGTTTAAAAACAAAGCCCTCAAAATGTACTATTTCTGACTGAAAAAGCCACTGATTTATTCTTCAAATATACTTTTCAACACTTTAGCATATTAGGACAAACTGTATCACCTAAGAAGATGGCTGATAAAGAAATTTTAATACCACAATATTCACCTACAATAAAACTAACTGTGCTTTATTATATATACACATATATATTTATAATACTATTAATACTTTTTCTAAAAATGTCTGTTGAGTCACCAGCTTACCTAAATAGAGGTAACTTACTAAATACTGTTTTAGTAAATATATCTGAATGAACCTAACTCATGCAATTAATTTTAGTTATATATAGTTATTTACATATATATATATACATATATATATATATAGTTATAGTTATATATAGTTATATACAGTATATTTAGTTATACTCTGAGAATGAGAGTCTGCAACTCCTAGTACTTGATAACTTAAAGGGCTCTTACTCACTCTCTCCCATGTTAATTCTTCTGCAGCTCGATCCCATTCTAAAGCATTCCAGTTCATGTCATCTGAAATAATAATTACAGTTTAGAGATGCCTGAGGAACCTTGCACTGCAAATATTAATAGGAATTGTCTTTGAAATTAGTATTTTGCAGATACTTATATAAAAATACTAAACCTAATATGATTATTGAGAGGGAAGTAAAAAAAGCCATTACAAGCATAGTACCTGGAAGGTACTTTAATTCTTTCAAACCACACCTACACACTTGAAACAGTAGGAAGAAGAAACTTAATAAATTAGCTCAAGCTTTAATGACGTTTCATAAAATCCTGTCCAGTTGCTATTCATTCTTTCCTATGAGATACATATACATACATGATGGGGTTCATATTTATAGTCTATGAAACACATACAAACACAAGAATATTAAGGTTAAAATTTGCTTAAGATTTATGAATATTAAAAAAAGTAGAAAATATTCTTTAATTTAGATACAAATTAAATTAGGGCTGCCATTATTCTGAAATGCTGTCTTGTGACAGCTATTACCTTGTGCCCCATTATTAGCATCAGCTGCATCTTCAACTACAGCATCTTCTTCATCTTCATTGTCTTCCTCTTCTTCATCAGCTTGCTCTTCCTGAATTTCAGGGTTTTCCCCTACTACTGCATCCTCAGCTGGTGGGTTAGCAGGCTGATCAACTGCAACATTTTCAGCACCATTTCCCACACCTGGAGCCTAAAATGATGAGATATTCCAGATATGTGGATAAATTTTCTTAGTTTTGCTATACTTTGATCAACTTCTAAGAAAATAATCACTTCATCTGATACCAAATATATGAACTTCCATTTATTATTCTGAATTAAAATACAACTTCTATAAAGTTTACATATTTTAACAACTTTAGTTTGTACAGTTAATATTTAACATTTCATAAACTAGAATAGCAATGAAGTTTATATATCTAGATACACTGCATTAGTCTCTTTTGAAATTCCTCTTTGTTAAGTACTCTCCTGCTTTCACTGACGTCCCCCCCCTTCTCCCCCAGTTAGTAAACTTTCCATTGGCCTTGTTGGGTGAACTAACAATATAAATATCCTCCCTAAACAGTTAATAGATCTTCAAGTATCTGTGTTATCACTACTCAAACACGTGAGTGAAAGTGATAACTGGGACACCAAAAGCTTTCCACATACAAAGTGACAATGACACTTTGACAAGTTTGGATAACTGTTTTTTGCCTAATAGCCTAAAAAATGTTATCTCCCCTAGTTTTGCTAAATACTCAAAACAGTTACACAACTAGCACAATTACAAAATAAAGTTAAACACCATGCATTTGTTAATCTATAAACTTAAAAATATTCATCAAGCCCACCTAATCTTTTTCAGACCTTAAATATCTGCACCTGTGTCTATTGATAACACTAATGTAAAGGGGGAAAAAATTAAGGATATTCCTACAGGTCATCACACAAAAGTTGAAGTACAAGTTTCTAACTTACCTAACTATAGTATTGCTCACAGTTCTGATTGGATAAGCATTTTACTACTGAAGAAACCAAGGTGAGGGAAAGGAATTAAATTATTTTCTTCAATGCATAAAGCAAGTCAGAAATAGCTCCAGGAATAGGACATCAATAAGACATTTTGTGTTTTCAAGTGAGAGTTACTAAACATCATCATAGACAAGCAGAAAGAGAAATTAATTTAGCTGTTCTCTCTAGCTGTTCCCAATCTCCCTGGTAAATCAAGAAGCCACACTATCACAATCCTGTCCAAATTTGTACATTGCTTATTTCAACAACACGTATCATTACTTTACAAGTACACCTGTGAGGAAAAAAAAAATAGACATTTACACCATGAATAAGCAGAAATAATTCCGTAACAACTAAAGTTGGAACAAGTATCTTACTTCATTTTGTTGTCCAGCAGCATTGAGAGGTTGAGCATGATTTTGTTCCAACCACTGTGGTGCTCCACCATGGACTATTTGTTCTCTCAACCACACAAGGCTGATGAATGCACAAAGAGTGCACGTCACCACAAAACAACCCTGCAAACAATCTGCCAATAAATTTTCCCTATTAAAAAAAAAGTTACACAATTATTTTCACAGTAACAAAAGTAATTTAAAATGAGCTCATCTACATTTCCAGTACACTATCAACTGTCCAGAAAACTAGACTATACAAAATGATTCATTTGTTGAAGACTCCAGATAGTTGAAGAATATTAGGGAATAATGGAGAATATGTCATGTTGCATTCATTATATTTGTATGGCTTCATCTACTCTTTGAGTTTTCAGATATTTCAACAGGTCTATGGTACAGACGCTTACTCTTATAGTCCCAAGCCTAACTGGTATGGTTTATTTCCTAGGGAAGTATCACTTACAGTGGATCATAATTATAGGGGAGTGTTTACCTAAGGTATATCAGATACTAGGGCTTGTGTGAGTCCAGGGCAAGTTTCCCTGGTACTGAATGTAAGCCAGACCTTTGCCTTTTCTGGACTTTAACAATCATAGAAATAAAAAGGAAACAAAGAAATAAACCAAATGTCTGAGAAGGGCAGGATCAAACTTTTCCACTACTTTTATTTTACTCATTCATAGTATTTTGTCTGTTTCTACTTCTTTGTTGCTTTATCTTCTAATATGCCCTTTATTTACATTCCTTTCAGGACTTCATGACAAAACTTCCATGTTTTTCCTCCTGAGGAGGACGTTAACATTTTAACTACCATGAATTTTAAAATTCATTCCCTCTTCAATTTCCACTTCATATATAATGAGACAGACACAGAAATTAAATTTTATAAGAGGTAGTCTTGTCCATTAGATGTAATTCTGAACTTAACAATCTGAAAGACCCAAGTTCAAGCCTTCTTTCCTAATTCATGATCATGGGCAAGTCACAAAACTTACATACCAGCTTCCTTGTCTATAAAAAGAGGTTATTATCAATAGTTCCTATTTCACATGGCTCAAATGAGATATGTAAAACAATTTCCAAACTTTAAATGTGTCAGTTTTTTTAAATTTATATCAAACAAGTATACTTAAGAAACAAATTTCTGTTCCCACTCCAAATTCAGTTTAATAAATTATTGTTGCTAAAATATTGACTTTTCATATTGTGGAAATTAGATTTAAAGTTCTAAATGCAGTGATCAGTTTTTAGCTATTGTAAAAAGCATGGTTCCAGATGCAAGGGGCTTAGAAAACTCTGGGTTAGTTTAAGGAGAATAAAGCTACAAGTCTACTAAAAGTGTAAAATACTATGCCTTTCCTATCTTTTCCTTTTTGAGTTAATTGCATGGGAATATGTGCCTTTAGAGGATCTCTCAATGCATCATTCTAGATAGATCCTTTTAATCTTTTCCTTATTAATATAAGGAATACTAGAAAGAGTTAAGAAAGGCTAAGTGTAAGAATAAGTAAATCTGAAATAGGCAAAACTGTGTGAAAGTCTTTAATGAGGGTTAACAATTTACATTGCTTCTAAGTCTATTAACAGAGAGCCAAGTGATCTCTCTTCTATTTTTAGAAAGTTACAAAATGCTTTACACATTAGAATAAAGAAGCACTGAGACAACTAGGTGAAATGTTATCAGAGATCATATCCTAAATGTCATAAAACAGACAAATGTGATGTACTTGAACTCAAAGGTAACTGCTGTTTTGTTGGGGTTCTTTATTGTTTGGTTTGTAAAGGCATTAATGAATTCAACATGAACTCATTGTGCAAATTAATTATCCCATTCAAAACAAATCTTAAATTATACAACCAACCTTTAAATATGTAGCTTTAAATGGAGTATCTTGTATAAACAACATATTCCTAAAGTTATAAATCTAATTTAGAAATCCTTTTGAAGAGTATGATAGCTATGCTTTCAAACATAAGAGAAAGGGCTATAAAGAGTATGCCTTCCCATAGGGTAAGGAAGAAATCTTAAATTTTAACATGAACATAGGAAAGAAAACAAATGAACAGTAAAAATGAATCATTTGAATGAAACACTTTTTCCATATCACATTGGTTTACACTTACGTTGACAGCATATCTAATGGCAGTGTCAATAGTGAGCTCACAGAGCCAGTAAACAAGCACTTGTAGATACGGCCTATGGAAAAAAAAAAAGTATTGTAAGTGGCAACTTTTAGAAAGAATTTACAATGCTTATATTTGTAATTACTGAGCACATATTAACTTACATTCTAACTTACATTCTCTATGAAGACATCAAAACCTGAGACTGGATCAAAATACAAATACCACTAAATTCGTTTTAAAATACAGTCTGTCCCTTAAATTACAAGTAAATCAGAATTACTTAAATTCAATTACTTATAAAATGCTCAAAGAACTTCTTTTCCAAGTCTAACCTCACACTCTAAAATTTCCCACTACCTACCTTACATAAGTCATCCACACTACAAAAATAATAAATCAAATTTTCCCAAGGAACATCTGCATTTCACTGACAGAATATAAGGATATTTTTGTTGTTGTTTTTGGAAAGGAGTGAAGGGCAAGGGAAAGAGGAGGTTTTCCTGTTTAACTTGGCTATTTGTGGGCACTATCCCATCCACTTCAGTGGTCACCCATATTCCAGATTTCATCTTACAAGCCAGTTTTAAAAATAAGGCGGAAAAGAAAATTAAACCCTAGGGGGTGTGGCATTAGCTTCCTAAAAATCCAACATTTGAGGATAATTACAATATGACTGAGGGACTTAAGATCACCATTTTCTAGCATCTGAGTTCAGTCTTTAGATTCCTTCCTAAACAATAATTATTCTACATATTCCGTTCATTTTTCTTTCCTAAATTCTCTTTAGGAAAAGTCTACCTAGATTAAACTGCCAAAAATGAATTCCTAACACAACTTCTTTTTTTTTAAAGTTAAATTTCTTTATGTTTAAGAACATTATAATATCATATAATCATTAAAAGATATCACATGGAATAACAAGATGCAAAGGTATCTATTATTATGCAATATTTAAGAAATCCAGCACTGAAAAAGTAATACTTACATGCTGTAAGAGGTACAACTCCCAACCATGCAAAGGCCACAAGTGTATAGTGAAACCAGTAACGTATTGCTGTGCCAATACTTGTAACTAGTCCAGCAAAAATATCTTGGATTGGTAGCCTTGAAGGCATATCTGGGGAATAAACTGAAAGAAAAAAATAGAACTCATAAAATTTGTAGTTAAAAAATGGCTACTTATATTAAAAGCTGAGCTAAAAGAACATTATATGAGTACAACAATGTAAATAACATTAATACTGAAAGGCCACAAAACTCTAATAAAAAAGTCAATGTTAGTACCTTATGATCATTATTAAAAAATAGATCCAGTCCTCCTTTCTCTTAAGAGCTGATAAACTTATTGGGAAATGTATTTTGTTACAGGGATTGAATATCTGGTAGAAAGCATACGTTGTATCAAAACAAAATATATCACTAAATATTTTAATTATTTATGCCATGTATATAAAATACGTATGTATATCATAATTTCTATGACAGCATACTCTTCTTAATAAGACATCTCAACAAACAGTTGTAATAAGTGAAATCAAGATCATAATAATTCATTTACTCCAAAACAAAGTATCTCAAAGAAGAATAAGTAATGTATCCAACCAATACCTAAGCAGAAATCCCCACTATAAAATAATTAAAACAATCCAGAATCGATTAGTAAACATCCAACATCCAGGAACTCCATACCTTAAGAGATAGCTCATTATATTTTTTAACAACTTCAGTAATTAGGAAGATTAACCTTATATTGAGCCAAAATTAGCCTCTCTCCATCTCCTACCCTCTGCCACTACTTTTGATTTTTAGTGTCAAGTACGGATGACAGACAACCCTTTAAACACATACCCAGTATGTCAGACATGTTGAAGACACTTAATATGTCTTCTCTTCTCAAGGTTAATTATATTAAGTTCTTTCAATCAGTCTTACAGTAGAGTTTGGAGTACTTTCAATATGCTACATGCCTTCCTCTAAATACATTAGTTTGTCAATGTCATTCCTAAAATGTGATAGCTAGACCTGGACATAAAACTCCAGATTTGGCCTCACCAGGGGCAACAATGAGAACATCAAACACCTCATTTACCTGGCATATGACTGCCAGAAAGAGAACTGTTATTGTCATGAATAAAATACTACAGACTGCCTGCAGAGAGAAACAGATCACAAGATTATGGCATGGAGCTATATAAAAGACAGCAGTAAGAGGAACTTCAACTATCCAGAAATCTGCTGAAACATTCTCTTGCAAAACTAAAGCAACTACTAATTTCTGGGTCCGTCTTAATGACATCATACTTCCAAAGATGGAGAAATCAAGGAAGGGAGCTTCCAATTCTGGACCAGATTCTCGTCAGAATGAAAGGATTAGATGTTAAAGCAGAACTGATTGGAATCTTGAAGGAAGGGAAGAAAGAAGACTTCACCTTAGGATATGTGATTGAAAAGAAATTGGAAATAATTTGACATGTAACCCAGATTTGGGCAGAACATGTTTCAAGGGATTCAAAAGGACAGGATCAAGCATATCCCAGGAGAAGAACTAAGGAATGTACTTTCCTCCTCTTTTTGCAGAGGTGGGGAATTATGTGTGTGGAATGTTGCATATAGTCAGACCATCTGATGTGCTACATGGCTTTGCTGAACTGCTTTTTTTCTCTCTCTTCTTTAATATTTGTTACAAGGGATGGTTTACAGGGTAGGTAAAAGAGCAGCATTTTGTAATACAAATGATGGTGAAAAAATATAGCAATAAAATGAAATTTTTTGCTTTTTTAAAGAAGAATAAAATACAATCACACGGCTTAAAATTCTACATGTGAAGGGGGCAGCTAGGTGGCGCAGTGGATAGAGCACTGGCCTTGGATTCAGGAGCACCTGAGTTCAAATCCGGCCTCAGACACATAACACTTACTAGCTATGTGACCCTGGGCAAGTCACTTAACCCCACTGCCTAGCCAAAAAAAAAAAAATTCTACATGTGAAATCAAACTAGAAAGAATGAGAATAAAAGATGAGAACCTCTTAAGAATGAAATTCTAAAAGAATGAGAAGTAATTCCATGAGGAATAAAGGGAAGAGATGCCCACAGGAAACAACATGGATTTATCAAGCACTTACTGATCAACTCATATTTTAAATTCATATGCACAGAAGATGGAATCAAGGTAATTAAAGTACAGCAGGGCCCTACAAAAGTCTAGGGAATGCTAAGGCTCAGAATGAGTTAAATTTAATAAAAAATTCTAAGCAAAATAAAATGGGGTAAAGAAGGTATTTGATTTTTAACTCTGTGGAAGAACAGAAGAAAAACAAAGAAAGGACAAGAATGCTATTTGGGATGATGGGGAAGGTAACAAAAAGCTAAGATGAGGTAAAACAATTAAATTTTTCATTTCCTTCTATCTTCTCCGAGAAATATCAAAAAGAATAAAACAAAAATTCTTAACAGAGAACAAAACCTAAGATAAACAAGGATATAGTAAAAGGGCAATTGGTTAATTCAAACTCAAATTCAGAAAAACAGCACCCTTATTAGAAGTAAATGTGACAGAGACTTCTGGGTCACCTGAGCAACATGATAGTGGACTAGACATTTTCTTCCATGACCTCTCACACTTCTCCAAAAACAAATTATATGCCAAAGATAAGGAAACTTCAGCTGTCTCCACTTAAGACATCCAGAATCCAAAAGAAGGCTAAAAAAACCGCAAGAACTGATGCTCACCCTGAGTTTACTCAGCATCCCTCCATATCCTCTCACACTACTGGTAGCAAGGCCACACTTGCAGACCCAAGGACATCATTAAAACCCCCCTCACCCTTTCCCTCATTGCTTTGACATCATTAATGGTGAATTTTTGCTAGAGCCTGTGCTACTCAACATTTTTTTTTTATCAACAATCAAGGAATAGATGGCATAGTTTTCCAATTTGCAGATAACACTAACTTAAGCATAAGTATGTTAGCTAAGAATAGCTAACATTTAAGAAGACAGAATCAAAATCCAAAACAAGCTTGAAACTTATATTGATGGGATAAATCAAATAAGATAAAATTTAATAGGATAAATGTAAAGTCAAGTTAAAAAAAATTATAAACTTCAGAAGTATAAGATGGGAAAAGTATGGCTAAATCCCAGGTTCTCTAAAAAAGATTTGGGGTTTAGACTGTAAGCTCAGTAAGGCAATGTGACACGGCAGTCAAAAAACGTAACAAGATCTTAGGCTACATTAGGAGAAACACAGTAGCCAGAATTAGGGAGGTGATAATCCCACTGCATTTTGCCCTCGTCAGACAGCATCTGAGGTGTTACCTTCAATATCACCTTTTAGGAAGGTCAGTGATAAACTGGAAATCATCTACAAGTTTGGATAGCAACCAGGTTTATGAGTGGCTTCAAGATCATGCCACATAAGGATCACCTGAAGTAACTACAAATATTTATCCTGGAGAGGCTATCCTATTTAGGTACAGATTAAATTAGATATCCTTAGAACTACCTTCCAAATTTGAGATTCTGTAATAACTAGGTGTCAAAGAAAAAAACATTCTAACAAAAATTAAGGGTGTATGTATTTTTACAAGGTTTCATAAAAAATGAAGCTCAGTAGTTTAAGGTTTTTAATTTGCTATAAGGCCAAAAGACTTATTAATTTTTTAAGTTGCAAGTGACAATTTTTCAGTTCTAAGTGCTTAATAATAAATTGACCTTAATGATGCTGATCTCTGAATTTCAGAGATAGAAGGCCTATGAGAAATAGCATAACCCAAACAACTTATTATGAAGATGAGGAAACTGAATCCTAGCATGTACTGATAAGTGGCAGAGCCAGAACTAAATCCAGTTCACCTCACTTAGGTATATGAATTTCCACAGATGGTAATATAACTATACTTTATCAAAGAAATGAGAAGCTTCTTTCACCAATAATTAATTTTTTCCAGTGAAAAAAAAAACATGAGGTCAATAATATTCATTTCTACTACACATACTTTAGTGACTCAATGTACTCGAAAATTTAATCCTTGCAAAGTTTATGGCCCAGAAAAAACATCCACACATCCACACATAAATTTAATGGCTGTTCCTATTTCATTACAATTACTTAAAAAGTGATGGTATGGGGGGAAGAGTGCTGATTAGTTGACCCCACACCTTCTTTTCAATGGATAAGGAACTTATTCCTGCTTAATAAAGTGTATCAAAATTTTATTAAATACTGAGCAAGCATACGTGTGAGATGCAAAATATTCACTTAGGCATAATTTGGACTCTTTGAGGGCAAGTGAGTATTGTACTTTTGCCTTTGTATATTTAGCACTTAGGATAGCTCCTTAAACTTAGAAGGCACTAAATGTTTGTTGAATTTAATTCAATATTTTAGATATTTAACTAAATAAAGACATAATAGATTTGGTAATATAATACATCAAATATGTGATGTTTTTAAAAACAAACTAGGTAAGAAGAAAAAAGAGCTCAGAATACTTTTTATACTAAAAATCAAAGAAGAATGAAATATGAAAGGATAAGAACAGGATAAAAGAAAAGGAAAGGAAGGGGAAGGATAATGGTTTTAATATTACTTTTCAGTTTCAAGTTGAAAGCTGCAAGGATGCAATACACAAAAAGGTAGTAAAAGTTGTTAATACTATAAACTTACTTGGTGTGAAAGCAAATCTGTGTTTGCATAGTTCACAGTATTCTTTTCTGCTGTGTTTCAACCACTGAACTAAGCTGAAATTAGAACACAATATTTATAAATTATAAATTATAATGCAGAAATGGTATATTTTTATACAAAACACATGTTCAAAGTTTAGGTTTATAATAAGTATAATTTTCACTTTTTCACAAAAAGCTTTCCCTGTCTTCAAAACACTCCATTTTGATATTTCGTATGACTACATAACATTTTGCATAACTATATAATGATACCAGAGTAATAAATGGAACCTTGGGGGTAAGAGTTAAAGGGAGAGGAAGAGTGTCTTCCTCCACAGGGTAGTCACAGAGGGGCATGGGACTACAGGAGTACCACAAGGCAGAGAGGACTGTCACAGGGAAGAAGCACAAACTCCCACCTCCTCAACTGAATATGTGCCAAGTGCTAGAGTTTCCAGTTAAAGATCTAATAGTAGCTTCAGTGATATAGTCAGAAGAAAAAGCCATTGAAATGAAAACCAAAAAACTATGAAGTTGGTTGTATATTAATCAATAAGCATTTATTAAGTGCCTGCTAGATGCCAGGTGTGGAGGGTAATATAAAAATGAGACAGCTCCTGTCTTGAAGGAGCTAATGTTTTACTGGAGGGGACAGAGAATGTTCATAAATAAGAAATTACAATTGGGAATTAAGAAAAGCTTCCTCATGTAGAAGGTAGCACTTGAGCTGAGCTTTGAAGGGAGCTGGAAATTCTAAAAGGTAAGAAGGGAGAATGCTTCAGACATGGGGGTCAGCCTGAAAGGAACAGAGGCAAAAGATGGAATGTTGTATAGGGAAAACAGCAAGTAGAGGCCAGGTTGGCTTAAGCACAAAGTGCATAAGGGCAAGTAATATATAATTACTTACAAGTACCAAAACTACTTCAGGCAAAAATCAAAAACAATCTGGCCTCAGAAAAACCTCAATGGACTGATAAATATTGAATTAGATGCTCTCAAATGTTTCATCCAGCACTATAATGTTCAGAATCTTAGACTATTATTTTCTTCCCCAACAACTATCTTTTGTTTATGTAACTAAAGTTCCTATTTCTTTATGACACTTAAAAATTTACTTGAAATAGTTAGTTATTTTCAGTTTCTCCAATTAACAGATGAGGGATCCTAAGTGTTATTTCCATTATACCACTCTGTTTCTCTACATTACCTAGTGTCTAATGCTAATAATATTATTTCTACACTCATAGATTTGTAAAATTCATCATCAAAGAATGTGTCTGTTTTCTTGTTCAAACCTGTGATATTTGTACTTGTACTTGGAAAAACTGTACAATTCTTACTTAAAGCCTTACTCAAAAAGGTGCCGCACAACTAGAGAAGACACAAAGCAGGGCAACTAAGAAACTGGAGGGCATGCTACATGAGAAAAGAACAAATAATTAGAACTCTTCAGTCTGCAAAGGCTGAAAGGTAGAGGAGTCAAATTTTTTAAATTCTTGAATTTTACTGATAGTTTATCAAATACTAGAAGACAGACATATGTAATATAATTTCCTAATCAACATTATTTCAAAATAATATCAAATAATCAAAGTCTGGTATTTCACTGTGGAGAAACTATTGTAAACAGTGGTTGTCCTCTTTCATTACAAATCCCAAGACCCAGGGCATACTGGTAGAGAGTGGTTTCTGAAGCCAATCAGAAAACTGTTGTTGACCCAGCCCAAAGGAAGTCACTACTACAAGCAAATGAAAAGCAGAGCTTCTATTTAAAATAATGTTCCCAGCAATCACTTATTCCTCTGTATTGCTGTTCTGGCAACAAAATTTTTTGCAGAACCAATGATCAATACCAGTCAAGATATGCCCACACTAGATATAGAAAACACTCTAAAATTTGAAAGAGTCTAGTATATATAAAAAGTAAATAAACATTTATTTTGCACTAGTTATTTATTTTGCACCAATTCATTTTGCAAGTTACAGTGTTAAGTACAGAGATAAGTAAGACACTGTGTTTATCTTCAAAAAGCTTTTAATTTCTTATTGGTGCACACATACTACTTTACCCAGCAGGTAGTCAACACATAGAATTCCTTACCTCCAACAGATAGTAAAAGCTGAAAATATAAATTCAAGAAGTATTTAGATAAATACGTGGATGATATATCCATAAAATTTTATTAGGGAAGTTAGCAATTTGGGGGCATAAAGCTAATCTTTTAAGATGTTTTTCACAAGATTTTCATGTTTTCCCTCAAAACATCATATAATAATGTCATGGTTAGAATCACAAAACTGGGAAGAAAGCATCATTGTTGGGTTCCCTCCTCCTTAGGAAATATTCAAGTGGAGGCTGGATAACTGCTTATCAGATCTCTCACAGTTGGGATTCCTTTCACATATGGGTTAGACTAGATGGCCACTGATGTCTCTTCCAACTCTCAAATTTTGTGAGTTTTCCCTAATTCTAGATGGTATTTATGATATCAAATTCTTCTCACTGATCCTATCTTTATATCTTGCACAGAGACATAGCACAGAGTAGATACTCTGTAACTACTTATTAGCTACTGGGTACTGAGTATACAGTTACTGAGTAACTGTTATTTCATATGAAATGAACTGGTATCACTGAATCCTGCTTAATAGTCCTTTTCATGAAGCTTGAAATAAGGAAGCAAATATGACTTCCCTCTATGGTACTTCCCATAACGTCAAGTTGTATCTTGTCAGGTCCAAAATGTTGCCCATTTTCTGAATCCAGCCTGACTGAAGTGACCTTGTTCATGTCCTTGCCTTAGTCTGTGTGCTATAAACTCCTAAATTCAGATATTGTGGAAAAGTCTGGATATAACAGATATCTTACCCCTATAAGAATGTAATGCTTTCTCTTCCTATTCAATGATATGTGTGCATGTGTGTGATATTTTAAATTAATTCAGTGGGTAGAAATTTTCTCATGAAGAAATCTGTTTTGCCAATTGGCTAACGGCTTAAAATAAACTGAGAAAAATCTTACCTAAAAGACAATATAAATACAGTAGTTTTAAGTCCATGACACTAATTATATTTACTCTATATTCTTTTCTCCCTATGAAAATCTGAGATACTTAAGTAGCTAAGTTTTTTAAATCCCAACAGATAATAATATTAAAAATAAAGGGGTTTATACAATTAAACATCAATTTATACTAGCATTAAAAAGGAGTTTTGAAATGTAATTTCTAAAAAGTCTACTCACCATTCTTGATGGATAAATTTAATACTGCCAGTACATACACACGGATGATACAGCGGTTTCTCAGGTGTTCCTTCTGATCGACACACCCTACAAATGTCTGTTAATCAAGAATAAAAACTCATTCATCTTTGGCTTAACCATCTTTGTAAAAAGAAATCTAGAAATGTTATAATATAGCACATTAGGAAAGACATTATGCTTTAAAATAGTAATAGGCTGGCATGCACATAATTAAAACTTTTGAAATCTGACACTAAAATGTTTATTCCTTAATGAAAATCTAATTCATGAGAATAAAATAACTAGATTCAACAAAGAATTTCATGTAGGTAAGGGCAGAAATGGCACCTTCTGTTTATATATCTACTATCCAATAATGGCAAATTTACAAAAGGCAGCACAGGGTATGAAAAACAGCAAAAGAATACAGTGTCAATGGACAAATACAAGGAAAGTTTATTTGATGACCTTTCTGGTAGAATAGCAGTAGCTATAGTATTTGGCATATTATACACAAAAGAAATTAATTTTCTGATGCTAGCCTCTCTAAAAGCACAGAAAACTAATTAAAGAAAATCATAGCTTATCCTTATCTGAAATAGTGACTTCTGCACAGACAATGTCTCTAACCTTTAGCAACTTTTTGAGTGAGTAAAAATGTATTATACTCCCAAATATACATCAAACAAACTTCATGCATATTAACTGGTAATAAGAGACTTTTTTGGGTCAAATTGTTTCTTTTCTCTTAAAATCTAATAAAGAAGATTTTGAAATGATGGTTAAAAGTCAGTTATCCAAACCGGGGATTTAAGAAGGGAGGCAAGTCCTATTTTACTCTTTTAAAAGGATTTCTACATCGAAATTAAAAAAAAATATTTAAATGCATCTTTCCTTTTTAATCCCTTGAAACACTATAGTTGTATTTTCATTCAATCTGTGTATGTTAAAGATTTCATTTATAAGATATCTCCTATTATTCTTTAATTCAAAAGTTCTCCTTTTTAATTTCTACATTCCTTTTGCAGAAAAATACAACTAGCTTTCCAATACAAAACTACAGTGACTTGTGATTTCACTAAATAAGAATTAAAAGAAACCTTGCAGATCAGGTTCAATTGACTAACCTGATTATTCTCATCTATGAAATAAAGGATTTGGACTAGTTCATCTCTGAGGATGCTGCCAGCCTTATATCCAGTGTCAATAAATCACTCAATTGATGAACATTTATTAAGCACCTATTATATGCTAGGTACTAAAGATACAATTCAAAGAATTAAACAATCCCTTTCTGAGAATTCTATGATCCTATGTAGGTATGTCTTCCATACAATTCAATTCAGCAAACAATTACCAAGTGCCTACAGGCTGAGGCTCCAAAAGAAAGTAAGACACTAGGTTTAAGACATAGAAACACATACCCAGGACGTGTTTTGGAACGTAAATGAGTATAAGGCCAACACACTGGCATAGGAGACTTCAAGGAGAGATCATTTCTAACTAGAGAGATCTAGAAAGGCTTTAAAAGGAGGCTACATCTTGAAGATTTCAACAATCAATCAACAAGTGTGTATTAACACTTTGTTAGATACTAGGGATACAAAGACAAAAATGAAATAGTCGGGGCAGCTAGGTGGTGCAGTGGGTGCGTCTGTCAGGTGTGTTAAGTGGACCACCGGCCCTGGAGTCAGGATGACCTGAGTTCAAATTTGGCCTCAGACATTTGACACTTACTAGCTGTGTGACCCTGGGCAAGTCACTTAAACCCCACTGCCTAGCAGAGAACAAAACATGAAATAGTCCCTGTGTTCCATAATTGTCCACAAAAAGAAAGCTCAGACAAAGATTATGGAAATTATCTTCAGTTTAAAAATTAACTTAGTTTCATCTGGGACAAACGAACAATTTCTCAACCAATTCACACAGTTAAAAAAAACATAAAAAGGTTTGTTTAATGCATTCAAGGATCAAATGTCTATTATTTGCATGAGAAGGAACTGAATTAAGCATAAAATGAGCCTCTGACTTGCATCATTATCATCCCTATCACAAAAATTTTTTTAGTTAAAAGTGGAATGTTTAAACAAGTTGTCACTAAGCCTTTTCTTAAAGACCACCAGTAATGGAAAACTGCCTACCTTTCAAAAACACTTATATCACTTTGGGATCTAACTATTAGGAACTTTTTCTTTATATTGAGTGAAAATCTAACTTTCTTTGACTTCCAAACACTTGTCTTGGTTATACGCTCTGGCGTCAATTAGAATAAGTTGAATCCTGTTCCACATGGCACCCTTTTAAATTCTTTCAACTGATCCATGTATGACTTGATTTTGAGTCACTACCTACACCTCATCCTGGTTTTCCTGGACAAACTGTATTAATGTTCCATTTAAAATATGGTGTACAGAATGTAGAAACTTATTTTTCTCGAATATGCATATTTACTATAAGGGTTTTCTTTTTCTTTTCTTTGAAGGAGTGGAGAGAGATTTTAATTGAAAAAAATTTTAAATGTAGATGGCCAGAACTGACCTCAATGTTTGACCAGGTCAGGGAAAGAAAGACTATCATCTCTTTCTACTATACCACACTGCTTCTCTCTTTAAAAATAATCTGGTACATGAAGATTAATGCCACAAAAATTATACATAGACATAACAATCTTATGACATAAAGCAAATTAACAAATCTTCCAAGGTTCCCTACTCCAAGCTTCCCTATTCCATTATCTTAGTGATATTCAAGAGCTCAAAACCACGCATGGCTCTTAACTGTAAAATCTGTACCTCTTCACAATCTATAATTCTGTTAGAAAGAATAGCACATTGTTTTATACAGCATCATCAGCAATGAAAATTTAAGCAAATTTCCTAGATAACTGATAAATATCATTTTAAGCAACAAATTTTGCTTTATTCAAACTATTCCGAATGATACTTTTTCCTTTGCCCTCTTAAAAAAGAACATAAAAATATGTTATCAAGCTTTCTGGGTCATAATTATGAACAACACTTACTGTGCTACTATGCAACATTATAAAAATTTTTTATGGTATGTTGCCACCCAACCATCCTTTTTGAGTTCTCCTTTTTAATAATATTTCTATGTCCCTTTGATGTGAACAACAATATCTGTCTTTTACATTCTTCACCATGCTACTATTCCAATTTGCTAGTTTTGAGCTGCCATGGATTGAGAAACCAGTTATGGAGATGATCAATAGCTACAATAAAGCTGTAAACTACAAAATAAAACCTCAAAATTAACAGAATTTCTAAATAATAAGAACAAAATCCAAGAAACAAAAGTAGAAAGGGAGATCCCATTCCAAATAACTATAAAATAGATAAAATATGGAGCTCAACCTATCAAAGTACACAAAAGGCTTGTAAGATTAATCTACAAAGTGCACCTTAAAGAAATAAAAAAACAACCTAAATAGCTGGAAGCATATTCAATGCTCATGGCTAGACCATGCCAAAATAATAAAAATAACAATACTACCAAAGTTAATTTACATTTTAATGTCATACCAATCAAATTACCAATGATGTAGAATTTGTTAAAATAATAACAAAATTCATTTGGAAAAACAAAAGATACAGAATAGCAAGGGAAAGAAATACAGACTAAAGGGAAAAAGGACTTCCAGACCTCAAACTAGATTATAAAGCAGCAATCATCAAAAGCATCTGCCATTTGTTAAAAAATAGACAGATTAATGGAACAAACTAGACAGGAGAGAATCTGAAAAAATAGAAGTCAATAACCCAGTTTTAAATAAAGTAGAAAACCTGTAATTCCCCATGCCTGACCTAGGCAAAAAAAAAAACAACCCAAAACCTCTCTGTTAAATGAAAACAGCTGCAAAAATTACAGTGTGGCAGAAATTAGGGTTAATTATATTGGCACAAATTAGGGTTACATTACATTCCACAATACATTCTAAATGGATATGTGACTTTAATATTAAAGATCATACTACAAAAAAAAAATTAGAAGAGAAACATATCATATATCTCACAACTAGGGGCTGGAGATGTATTCTTAGCCAAATAAGAGAGAAAGAGAGGCAAATAAAAGATTAACTAGATAACTCTGATCAGATGAAATTGAAAAGTTCTGTACAGACAAAATGAATGCACCTAAGATAAGAAGGGAAGGAGTCAAAAGGGAAAATATTTATATCAAGTATCTCTGAAAAGGGTTTGGTATCCAAGATAAATAAACAATTAACAAATATATATCACTAAAAGCCATTCCCAATACATAAGTAGTTAAAGGATATGAACTTTTAACCAAAGAATTGTCAAGTATTGACCACTACATGAAAAAATGTGCCAAATCATTAATAATGAAAGAAATGCAAATCAAAACAACCCTGAGGTTTTACTTCACACTCTGTAAAATGGCAAAGATGACAAAAATAGCAACACTCAATGCTGGAGGGATTGCGGGAATAATAGTCACACTAATATACAGTCAGAACTGTGAAATGTTACAAGTAATTTGGAATTATGCACATAAAGTGACTAAATGTCTATACTCTTTGAACCAGAGACTCCATTACTAGGCTTATACCTCAAGAGAATCATTAATAAGAAGAAAATTCCTACATACACCAAAATATTTATAGCAGCACATTTTTGTGATAGCAGAGAATTGGAAATAAAGTAGATGCCCATCAACTGGGAAATGGCTAGATAAAACTAAATTTTTTTCCAACTGAATAAAAAACTTTTTTTAATGTTAATTTTTAAAAATTTTGAGTTCCAAATTCTCTTCCTCCTGCCTTCTCCACCCCCCCATTGAGAAGGCAAACAATTTGAAGTTATACATGTACAATTGTGCAAAACATTTCTACATTAGTCATGTTGTGAGAAAAAACACAGAAAAAAATAATAAAGTAAAAAAATATGCTTCGATTTGCATTCAGACTCCATCAGTTTTTTATCTGGAGATGGATAGCATTTTTCATCCTAAGTCTTTCAGAAATGTCTTGGATCACTTTATTGCTGAGAATAGCTAAGTCATTCAAGGTTGATCATAGTACGATATTGCTATTACTGTGTACAACGTTCTCCTGGTTCT